TTATAATTTTATAATTATATTAAATAAGAATAAACTTTAAGAGGAGGTAATAGATATTATATCTAATTACTATAACTTTAACTTATAATTACTATAATTATATATTAAAAACAACTTAAATATCTTAAATAGTATTTTATATAACTTTATAGATTATTTCTTTAAATTTAAAGTATATTAAGATAATCTCAATAATATTACTATAGTAATATAGAATCTTTATATTAATAAGAATATAGATAATTCTCTATATTTTATTAAGAATTTCCTTCTAAATAAGGCCGGATAATTCTTTAAGTACCTTTTCTTTATTAGTATTTCTAGTAGTTACTTCTTTATTAGATAAGGCTATTATAATATTATTTCGTTAATATTACCTATACTAGGAGGCGCCTATATTAAGATAGAAGCTGCTATTTTTAAGGTTAGTATAACCTGAATCTACTGCTATTAGCTTCTCTACCTTAGCGGTGCCCTATAGCTGCTGCTATAGTATTATAACCTAGGTAGATTTTTATGCTAATTTTAATTTTAATATCTAATTGGATTTTAAGTAAGAGATTACTAAGATCTCAATAATCTCAGTCTTATATATAAAGTTTATCTTCTAAATATATATTATTTTATTTATATTTAAATTTATAAAATTTCTTTAATTAATTTAAAAAAAAAAAAATCTTTTAATTATTTAATTATAAAATAAAAATCTTATTATAATTTTATTTTATTATCTTAAAAAGCTTATTATTATTATTAAATCTATATTAATAAATTTATTACTAGTTTTATTTAGATTATATAATATATATTTATATACCTTCTAATCTTAGCTTTCTTTAGATTATAAAGAAGCTATCAGAGGTTTATATACAAGTTCACAGCAACTGGTACTGCAACCCACCTTCTTCGCCTTCTTTATAGTCGCCTCGGTAGCTCTGCAGCTGCCCTTCCTGGCGCAGACCTCTAGATGCCCTTGCAGTAGCCCCCCGGGCTGCTATTAGTATCCCAGAGCCCGGCCTTTTCTTCTTCCAGTTATGTAACTCTTGTATATCGGTATATATATAGGTGCCGGGCCTGCGTAGCTATATACTTAGAATCCTAGCCTCTATTAATTATTATTATTTTTATAATAAAATTAAAATTAAAATTATTAAAATTTACTATATTAATATTAAAAAAATAGCTATTAATAATTTTATAAAGTCTTTTTTTAAAAAAACTATAATTACTTTTTTAAACTTTTTAAAATAAAATATATTTTACTTTTTTATATGTATAAATAAAGTATTATAATTTTTATAATATTTTAAATTATTATAGCTTTTATAATATCTTAAATAGCTAATAATTTTAATAGTTTTTTTTTAACTTTTATTATTTAGCTTAATTAAAAAAGCCTAAATTTAATATAAAAATCTTAAGCTATTAAAATTACTATTTTTTCTATTTTAGCTTAATACTATTTTAACTATTAAAATAAAATCTTTACTATTTTTTTTTCTTTTTCTTTTTTACTTTTAATTTTTTAAATTTCTTAATCTTTTTTAAATATCTTTTATAGTAATTTTTATATATAAAGCTTTCTATTTATTATAATATTTATTAAAAGAGATTATTATATAAAAAAAAGTATAAAAAATAGAATCTACTCTAATTATATAATATAATAATATAATACTATTATCCTATATACTATAAAATTATCTTATACTATAAGAGTTTTTAAAAATTGCTTTTAAAGCTTCCCTTCTAACTCTAGATAATTTAATTAAGTTAAGCAACTTATATTTATATCCCTTACAGTAATAACCTCCTTTTGCCCCTTTAGGTAATCTATTTCCACTTCCGGGGTGTAGGGTAGGATCGGTCTTTTATAGATATGCGGAAGGTCGCAACAAGGCATTGGGTACCGAGAAGCAGTGATAGATAGTCAGAGAGGCCAGAAGGATCGATATCAGCCATGGTGGATAGCGATCAAGAGCAATGTGAGGGTTTAACCCCGCAATCGATACCCCTTCATTTCTACTTATGCCTATCTCGACTGTGATAGAGGATTTCACTGGCGTTCGTTGTGGACGATAAACGACCTCTCGGCCAGTCATGATATGTTTGCATAGCAGGAATTTGATCCAATGCAGGATTTGAAGAAACCTAGTCGCAGAGACGGATTATCTTCGACTGAAACGTTTGTCTCAGCCGGGCTGCGCACGAAGGTTTCTGAGAGCTGGCGTTGAGGAGAGATTACAGTGTAGATTAAGGAAGAACAATTAGGGAACACCTGTTTTAGTACATAATTCCATGGATGGTGACTAGATAAAACAGGGGACAATAAATCGTAGTAGTGGCGACAAGAAGTTCAGTGATTCAAGACGCCTACGGTTCAAGTTGATTGGAACATTGCTATCCTGCCCGAGAAGGATCCAAGTCCTTCTCGTCTGGCGCTTAGACCGACCTTGCCCAGACCATTAATGAACGAAGATTTGACTCGACATTTTGCCTACCGCGACGGGAACGAAGATCAAACAGGGGCGTTGCATGGACAAAAATATATGACGTTGGGGTATCCAATTCAAAGTCGCGGAGATATTGGTCGCTGATGGTAAATTGAAGAAAGCACATATAGCATTGCGTTGCTTGAATAATGACGATGCTGTGAATTTCGTTAATAAGAAAGATTTCTAGGAGTAGCGTGAATGAGTGCTTCACTTTTCTTCCATTCCTTCGACATGGTCAGTCAATCTCAGTGCCAGTGCTTCGCAAGTCATCTGGGCAAGACAGTTATCCGAAATGATTGGTCTGCCGTCTTCGATACACTGAAACCTCTTCTTGGCTTCTAACATTGCCACACGGTGGTTCAAAATCATCGAGGCTGAGGCCCCTTCTTGTCGAAGATACAGCCCTCCATCGTCGGTGGCAACTATCCTCCGAAGAAGGTATGGGGTGGATGCCTCGAGCCTTTGCTCGGAGTCACGGTATTCAACCACAAGCGGTAACTGATCGGAATCTTGAGGCGGTGAGTAGTATAGTACATGGCGAATCACGCAGCTAGCTAGGCGTCTTGTATCGTCCTCAGGCGGGGCGCGTCGTGAGTGCGAAGTACTATCGACATAGCCAGCCGAGGAAGCCCCTTGCGAGTCCTCATTTTCCAGAGGGCTGCTAGAGGCAACCTGCAACGTACTGGAGTCCGTATAGTCTTCAAGAATTGTGTGCCGCCTGAGACGTTTGGACCTGCCTTCGGGTCCAAGATGCAACTCTTGAGAAACATCGGGGCTCTCGCGGAAGTGCGATAGAGCGGAGAAAGCCTGGCCAAGCGAAACGCCATATTCTCGGATCAATCTATGCTCGCTAGAGAAGGTATGCTCGTCATCGGGACCATCGATAAAGGCCGCGATTTGGTCTGGAGGCTGGCGTTGGGGGAATTGGTGTTTTAATAAAACCGGGAGAAGAATTTCCCGCTTCGGTCGACAAATAACGCGACAAGCTAAGAGGTGTTCGCGGCGCCAATCACTCGCTGCAACCTCCGGGGCTTCAACAAATGGCCTTGCGTGCTCGGCTGTGAAGCGACTGTTGAAGGACGATTCGGAAAAAACTTGAGTGAAATATGCCTTTTCAACCATTGCGTCTTTCATACTTCTTTTTGCTCAGAAATGATACTCGTCTAAGAAATTACGCATAAATACCTCCCCCTCACTGAATTATTCACTCATCACCAACACATTCGGTTATGTCATGCCTTAGCGTTGCGTTGTAAGCCGGCACGGGCCGATAGTTTTTCCGCCCTGCGATTGCTAAACAGTGTCACTCTGACGACTTGGAACCGTTCACCAAATCAATCCGGCGGAATGCCATGGCCTCAAAGGACCCGACATGTCACCCCCCATCCGTCAATAGCATGAGGGACTCTCATCCTCGCGAGAGACTGCTTACCCATCCGCTGCTATGGACGGACCGCCAGCTCCAAGCCTTTGACTGCCGCTTCATCAATGATGCAAACGACACGCCTCATCCAAAGGGGGTGCAGTTCACGCCCTCTCGATTGCCCTTAACACCACCTTCGTCGGCACCAAAGCCGCACCTTTGCAGCCAGGATGAGCCCACGGAAGAAGCACGGCGTTTGGCAAGAAGCTGCCACCCCCCTTTGAAATACTATGCCTTGGCCTGTCTACTGCGTAGCCAAGGGTTTGAGAAGACTGGGTGCGACCATCCTCACCAACAACGTGTCCTCACCAATGTCGCATCGCTAACTTGGACCAGTGACTCCATTGCTTTCTACCATAATGGCCGACCCGCTTATCGGCCCAAGTGCTCTGTGTTCTCGCCCAAGCACGACGGCGGCCTGGAAACTAGCCGCCCGCTACAGTTGGCCCATCTCGACTACGCCGAAATCCTAGGCAGCCGCCGCAAGATGCTGATGCCAAGTCGGCCCCCCCAAGGGAGCGATAACGCACCAGGGCGAGCCATCTTCCATAAAAAGTTGGCCAAAGTTACCCCAAAAGACTGGTCCCAGGATCCATTTCTGGTATCCATCTTGATATCCCTTGCCCAGTCGCAGCAGCATCATGTTGGAACTAGTCAACTAGGCCACGATGCTCTGTCGAGCGAGGATTCATATACAGTAAGCCGAATTCATGGTAACGTGACAGAACCTAGCTAATTCACTGCTCAAGGCACAGCTGCTACTAACTCACAACCTGGATCGTCACGCTATTCACCTCTATGAATCTGAGATCCCAACCATGTTTCTCAGCAAACTTACCGACCCACATCACCATGGGATGGCTAGTATGGCCGTCCATCACAAAATAGTTCCGTTTGAACCGCACAATGATTTGTCTGAGCGTTTGGCCGCTCTACTACGATGACTAAGGAACAGGGACAGACACCTATTGAATCTATCGAATTCAATACCGGGCTTTGCCATTCAATTTGATGGCTTAGTATTTGATTCCCGTGTAACTATATGTAATTTGACCCAAGTCTAGTACGTCTCCTAGAGATCCAATATTGAGTCAAGTATCTGTTATTTAATCCAATGCCAAGATTCGATCGAACTCGATCGAATAGATGATTAATTCCCGTGAAGGTAGGGGACGTTAGAGGAAATAACGGCTTGTTAATGAGGGGACCGTCTGACATGGAGGGATTCAACAGGAAATATGAAGAAGCACATGCAGGGAGTATGTAATATAGCGGTAGGGGCCTATAGGAAATGTCCCTCGGGCGAAATAAACATCATTATCATAATTGTGATTTGGGAAGAGACGTTGTAGAACAGAGTTAATTTGTAGAAAACAGGTATGACTAGGCAGATCAGAAGTCGCTTGGGTCCTTCAGCGACGCAAGTACATCAACCCATTGATCATCACTTAGGCTAAGCAGCGGCAGCGAAGGTGTGTAGATCTCAGCCTTGCTCCACGATCGAATGCACTGACCCATAGCCACTATCTCCCCTCCTCAACCGATTTCTCAAAGGCGCCATTATAAGCCCTGCGCTGCTAATGACCTCTTTCTCTCTGCATCCGACGATGCTCCTGGCAAGTCTGCGCTTGATGTAATCTATTTAGGCTTTATCAGTTTGTAAGAGAATGGGTAGTGCTTGAACCTCTCTTATACCCGGCCCTATTATTGGTTCCAGTCGCTCCCTCTTGCATGCAGAATCTGTACCCGGCCTGGGTGATATCCAGCTCATATGTTGTGGATTTGTACAACTACCCACCCTTGTTGCTCTTGGAAACCCAAGCAAGACACCTGACAGAGACTTTCATCCCTTCCAAGTCTTCGTCATTTTCCCCATCCACGCAAATCCCTGGGCATCCCATCGGATATCGCAATATAGTCTTGGTGGATGAAAACAAGGAAAGACGGAGTGGACTCACGAACCAGCAAGTCTAGTCGTAACGTATTTAACTCTTCAGCATGCTCTGCAAATTAACCGTGCAAAATAGTTAGCTTCGATAGACTAAATAGGTGTAAACTATTTCTCAATATGCTCACTAGCCTTCTCCTCATCCTTATCTTTCAGCACAATAGCATCAGTAGAGTCCTTTTCGAATACTTCAGCAATCTCTTCGAGCAAATAACCCTTCATTTCAGGATATATGGAATATACAAAAGCGAAGATTGCAAAATTCACACAGCAGTACAGTATATAGTACTTCCAGCTTATTGCCTCCATAGCAATCGGGTTTATAAAGAGATTGAAGATTAGAGCAAGATAGCTGCTGAATAGAGTCAACCTAAGGCCCTTACTGCGCAAGTAATAAGGGAAGATCTCAGTCGGGTAGGCGTACAATAGAGGGGTGAACGAGATGTCGTAATAAAAGTAATAAACAAATATCATCGGCACAACTGCGATGCCAATAGATATACTACCAGTGTTAAGAAATACCCCGTTAAGGGCCGTCCATGCCTAGTAATGTTAGTAAGTCGTTGCACGTCAACCAAGTCGCCTTGGGCTACACTCACAATGTACGAGAATCCCATCCCAGCAGCTGACCAGAGAAACAGGGTCCTTCGCCCGAGACGATCAACTATAAGTGCGCCGAGGAAGACGGAAACCAGGAAGCTAAGGGTTTCTATTCGGGTTGGCTCTCCTGCAAGCCAGTCCTGACGCCGTCAAGATATTGGCTCAGCAGCTATTTACGGAGGAATGCGAGCGTTTAGACGAGCAGTTAGGCGAGCCAAGACCGGTCGACCCTACCACACCTACACTATCGGTCTTGTTGACAAACTGGTTGCGACGTACCGGCTGAGAGGAGACTTTTGGCAAAGCACGCTGTGATACTCTCGTATTTCTGATACAGCTGCCTTGTATATCTAATCAAGCTCGTCAGCTGGGAGTTTATAACGGGGAAATACTATATAGTCCAGCTAGAGATAAGCGCGGACTCCTTGCAATCTTGGCAGTACTAGATCACCTCTTCGATTAATATAGCAAGATAGCCAGATATATAGATATGTATTTGTAAAGATAGCTTTATAGGAGATTTCCGGATTGTTCTTATAAATTGCCTTTTAAGCTGGTATTAAAGGTAGCTTTAGAGTAACTGTATAAAAAAAAGATAAAATATTACTTTTACTTTTAGCTTTAGATACTCTAACTGTTACTGCTAATAGTAAGGGGGATTATAAGATAAACTCTATTTAAATTATAATAGAAAGCTTTATGCTAACTATAGCTAGATTCTATTTAGAAGAAGAAGGGGGAAAATTCTATAAGCCTGCCTACTATAAATTAGTTATATAGTAAATTTTATTATAAAAGTAATAAGAGTAAGATAGAAAAAGATAAAAAAGAAAATAAAAAAGAAGATAAAAAAAAAGATAATAATATAAATAATAGAAATAGTAAAAATAAGCTAAAGAGTAATAATAATAATTCTAATATTATATTATTTATATACTTATTTATAAATAGCTTTAAAATTAAATATAATAATCCAGCTGCTAATACTATACTTATTTTATACTATTATATAATTATTAAAAACTTTAAGAATAAAAGAGTAAGTTTAATAATATTAGTATATTTTAGCAGTTTTATTATAATCTAGCTATAATTTAACTGCTAAATTAGTAGTATTTAAAGTTAGATATTAAATAGTAAGAGAATTCTACTTATATAAAAGCTCTTATTTTTATTTTATAACTTAGTTAATAAAATTAAATTAAAGTTTCTTATATAAATTTAAAATATACTAGTAAAAACAGAAGTATATTTAAGTTAAGATTTATAAAATAAAACTAAGTTAATATTTAAAGAGATAAAGTCTCTTAAAAAAATAGTTATAAGTACTTTAATTTATAAATATTCTATAAGAAATTAAAAAAACTCGAAATATATAATTATAATATTATAACTTTATTTATTATTTAATAATTATTAAATTAAAGTTTAGCTAATAGAGTTATAATTAGATAGTAACTAGAATATTAATAGTAAACTATAATTAAAAAGTAAAAAAGGTTAGTAGCTATATAAAATTATTTACTATATAAATAAGTTAAATAATTAAGTATACTAATATATAGCAAGTTAAGATAATTAAGATAACGAAGTTATATTAATAGCTAGATAGCTAAGAGCCTAGAAAAATACTAATAAATATATATTTATATACTAGAATAATATATAAAGCTTATAGCAATAAGTCTTAAAATTATAAATAAGTTAAAATAGCTTATATATAAGTTAGAGCAGCTTATATATAAATCCCTTAATATAGTATAAGCTACAGTAAGATAACTTTATCTAGAGGAGTTTTATAGAGTGTATATAATATTAAGTATTCAGGTTGTATAAGCTGTATATCACAGCCCGGGTTAATTAGGCAGTTTGTAACAAGGATACCGAGCCTCACGGCCGACATCCTGTCACATACCCATATCCGGTACAAGGAGGGGTTAGCCCTGCCTTGCCTTGGTACACTAGAATGCTAACCTAGACACGCGGCCCTCTGCAAAACCCAACCGCGCGGCCTACCTCAACGAGCCCGGGGCCAGCCCTCAGGGTTTCGCTGTAGTATCTATATAATCTCGACCTGCCGACTAGAGACTGAAGCAAGGCAAGCTTTAGTCTCTGTCTTAATTGACTACTACCTTACTCTCGCCTGGCTACTTCGTACCTCTTCGTTGACCTCCTTACACAGTTAGTTCTAGCAGTAATCCCACGAATACCCACTTTTCCTATCCAATAACACATAGAGCGTCACACTAAGAATCGTGCCCACGATCCAACGCTCCATACGATCCAACTAATCCCCATCTAGTATATAGACGCTCATTTAGCACTTTCATAGACGGATAGCCTTACCAGCTATCAACATACTTGGTTATATTGAATCTACTATTCTACTATTACTAGACCGTGACCTATATTGCTTACTACAACGTCCTGATCTACTTGATTATATACTATACGCCTCGGACCTATCCTATACCTTTAGGTTAGACTCGACTGTTATACTATAATAGCTATTTTATATAAATAAAGTAGAAAAAGAAAAAGTAGGTATTGTTATAATTCTACTAGTTATAACTGCCTAATCTTAATTTAGATTGTAATATTAAAGTTAAGCTACTTTTTATCTAAGTTTAAATAGTATAGTAGTTAAGTTAATTATTAATTATAATAAGAGTATTAAATCTTATATCTATTAGATTTAGCTTATAGTATTATATACTAATAAGTAGTAGTATAATTTCTCTTAAAAATCAGATAGTACTAGCTAATTAGACAGTTAGTATATTACTTGCTGTTACTAGATATAATATATCTGTATTTAACAAACCGGGAATATAGTCCCCGGAGCAGTAGATTAATCGCTAAAGGGATTAACTTATCTCTCCTATACCAAAGTATAATTTGGCAATTGTAAAACGGCACTTCTTCGCGTTTAGCTCAGGTCCGCGGATGTGCGTTGGTATTAATGTCGCATAGGCAGTGATGTGGGCCACGATGACCGGCATTTACGGAAAGTATAAGACTTCCTTGGTTTACTCGACGACTGGTGCTGAGTCGAGCTATAATGTCTTGAAGGATAGAAACCTGAAGGTGATCTTTCGCAAATCGTCATGAAGCTGAACATGTAGTTAATCCAACTCACTCAACTCATTCAGAACTCGATTAGAGCTATTAGGTAATATAATACCCCACTTGTGCCTTTTAACTGCCTCTCTTCCACCATATCTATTTCCTAGTCGTTACAATCACAGTTAAAAACTCTATCTTTTGATGCCAAGTTATCTCATCTTAATTCAGATGTATGTAGGTTAATACGGGCTGACTACTATTGAGCCTTCCCACTTATCATCTGTGGATCTTTATCACTTAGAGATCGTGAATTAGAGCCTTGAATATGTCAGACAGCCTGATAGGAAAAGTCAGCTTTGCGTAGGACCGGATCCGTACCGTGGTTTCCTTTGAACCTAGATAGAGACTCTGATCCGTACCGTGGATCCCTTCGAACCTAGATGCCCTCAACAACCTGAATCTTCGGATACCAACGGCATCATCGGATCAAGGTCATCCGGCATCGGATCAAGGGCATCTGGATCAGTCAGATCCCTAGGTATAAACAGCTAGCTTTCTTCCTTCCTAGACCAAAAGACAAGATCATCCATCGTCCCCAAAGCTGTCTCAACCAATCCACTTGTCTGATAGAATATGTCACGGCCCGGAACAGCCCGTTATCTAAAACGAGTAAATCGCCACTTGGTGAGCTTGCGGAGATACGCTGAGTACCCCGATCATCTTTGGGTTATATTTATGTTACTTGTCTGGATTCGCGGTTTTATAAGCTTATTACTTGTCCCGCTTACATGTTGAGCTTGTGTCGCGTCTTTGAGTAGATTCGTGATTGCCAGTGACGAAACTGAGTTTGCACGTCACTAGGCCACCATCAATCTTTCGATCAAAGTCAGAGACTGAAGTTCTCCTTCATATTTATGTTCGGGATTCGGGGTTTGGAAAGAATTTACCAATTCGTGTACACTACTATCAGTAATCAAGAATGTCCTCCCTGTCATCGATCGTTCCAAGAGCCGCCGTGACGACTCCAAGCAAGGATGAATCTGTGAAGCTTTTCCTCACCCCATTATTCTCTGTTCACCATGCATCTCCATAAGCTTCCCAAATGATGAAATCGTGTTCTCGTTCAACTGACCCATACGGCCTCACTCATCAGAAAATAACGATCATCCAACCCCTCACAGTGCATGAGTCAATATCCCTCGCACAGGTTACTCTCTGCTCCTGGGTTGGCTAAATAAGGACAGGAACATTCCTAGCTCGACCTTAATAGGGCGGGTAGCAACTTATATAGACGGGAATATTCCAGCCGGGTACGACAAGGACATTCGATTCATCACAGACCAGCGACTCACTCTGAGGAAGAGCTGAAATAATATCTCGGAACCCGCGGGTGGTACTTCAGGGTTGCGCACCAGCCTCCCCCCCTGGTTTTCGGAAGGTACGGCAAATGCATCAGATGAGAGGCCGGACAAACTTTAATAGTCGTCTTGGGGGAACTACTTTCTTGGGGCTTTACTAAATAAGGCCGTAGCGGCGAACCTTGGTGTTGACAAGGGTCTGAAGCCGTCCACTCGGAGAGGCTTAGACAGCACACGTAATTATCCAGCGAAGCCTGCTAAACAGGCAAATCCTGGGCAATTGCTTGCACTGTATCCGTAATCTAAGCTAGAGTTCCTGACATCCTGGGCAGGATTTTAATTACCCTATCGCTGTTCCTCTTAGCTCTACCACCCATCCAGTTCATCTCCCCATCCCCATTGTGGTCCATTTCCAATCGAAACCAATTTTTACTCCATTCCGGTTGATGAACCATGGTCAAGGCAGAAGCAATCGCCTCGGAAGGCCCGCGTGAGTGGGAGATGCTCAAGTACATACAAAACCGTTGCATTGGCCCGCTGTCTGCCTGGATTAACTTTCATTCCCAGACGTGATGGGTAGACTGGCTCCTGTGGATAAGCGCTGACGTTCCATCACAGATATGCCTCTTCCTTCGCCACAAACACGATTACAGGCGACGCTCCTTGTTCCGACGCCATCTTGACCGCTCTCTCACAGCTGGCCGCATTCCGTCTCCAGGCTCGCCGAGCCGTCATCTCATTCTTTGACCGCAAGTACCAGCACATTGTTGCTGAGGCCACGCAGTCCTCTCCCATTGGCCCCTGCCCAGACTACGTCGAGGATCGGCTCTGGCCCTCTGGGGTTATCCCTCGTGGTGACAGCATCTGCGAGCACGTCCTTCAGTTTCGGAACCCGAAACATGCCTGTTTGGATCACGATGAGGGACTGGAGGTGTCTGTCATTCCTGACCTTGCTGAAGATGCCTACTCGCGCAGCGGGTCATGTGTCCAAGGACGTCATCATCGATTCTACTGCGGCGTACCTATCCAAACTCCCAGAGGTTTCAACATCGGTGTCTTGGGTGTGTTAGATGACAATCCCAGGCCTATGGGTCTGGATCAGGCTTCCATCCAACTACTGAGGGATCTCTCTAGGACCATCATGTCCTATCTAGAAACTCGTCGCGCCACAGAAAACTTCATTCGCAGTGAGCGCATGGTGAATGGACTCAGTCACCTAATCCGCGGCAATAACAATGCTACCGACGACGTTTCCAGCTCCGCACAGCGCGACAGCTGGATTCGGAAGTTTCAGCAAAACGACTCATCTAGCAATCTTGTCTCCGGCAGTCACATAGTGAAGACAAGTGCAAGCCTACAGGCTAGTTCGGAGTGCTCCAATGGAGTTACACACAAACTACCCGAGCCTTTCAGCAAGCCAGCGGCTCTGGCTTCCCTAAATACACCCACAAATCTTCAGACCGAGACCTCGCATTTTGTTGACCCCCAGCAAGTTGAGTCGGCAAGCATGCTCAGCAAGGCCGCCGAAGTCGTCTGTGAATCACTCAAGGTTGACGGCGCACTCTTCCTCGATGCAGGCATCAGCTCTATTGGGGCTCCCATCGACCCTGAGCACAAGTCATTACACTCGGTGAACGATTCCACATCGAGCAGCGAGGACAGCTCGGCGGACCACGTCAGCGATTCCCAGAACAAGAGGCCTTGCACCATACTCGCCCTCTCAACCACGGATCAGGCTGTACTCGGCCTGGCCCAGCCAGGCTTGCAAATATCGCTCAATCAGAGGACACTCAAGAGACTGATTTCCCGCTATCCAAATGGCAGGATTTTCAGCTTCGAGGAGTCGGGTTCGTTGTACTCAGGCGAATCATCATCCGGCGAGGAGACAGACGCTCGTCTTCCCGATATCCGAAGTGCAAAGACGGCCCAAGATAACAGGCCCACTCCCTCGCGCAAGGATGAAGCCAAGCCCATTGCGGAGCTACTTGCCGGGGCGAGGAGTGTTGCCTTAATCCCCCTCTGGGATCCCTCTCGAGACCGCTTCTACGCTTGCGGTCTCGTCTGGAGCAAGACAGCCGCTCGCATTCTCACCCCGGAAGCAGACCTCCCGTACCTGAAGGCCCTTGGGATCGTCACCATGGCTGAAATCAACCGGATCGACATCACACTCGCCAACAAGGCCAAGGCAGATCTGCTAGGCACGTTGAGCCACGAGCTTCGTTCTCCACTCCATGGAATCTTAGCCGGTGCCGAGCTGTTAGCTGGTACTTCACTCGATCCGTTCCAGCAGGAAGTTGTACACGCGCTGGAAATATCCGGCAAGACGCTGCTTGACACCATCGATCACGTATGATATGTTCGGCCAAGTCTAAATAGTCAAGTTACTAATCCCTGTGTAGCTGTTGATCTTCAGTAAAGTGAACACTCTCTCGCGAACGATCAAGGCGCAAAAGGAGCGTAGAAGACACCGCAGCCCTTTCAGATCCGATAAAGACGATGAGGAAAACAGAACAAATCATGGGCCCCAGATGCAATCCCTGCTCTCGGATGTTGCGTTGGACAGACTAGCCGAAGAAGTCATCGAAACCATGACCATCGGCCACAGTTTCCACCACACAGTAATGCCACAGGGGCCAAGATGGCTTCCGTCAGATGTAAGTCTTAACAATAAATCCACAGTCAATGATCGAGCCTCTGACCAATGATGCCGAGTCCACAGACGGATCTTGTCGGCAAGGTACAGATCACAGTTGATATAGACCATCGCAAGCCGTGGGTGTTTCGGACAGTACCAGGTGCTGTCCGACGCATTATCATGAACATCTTGGGAAACGCCCTGAAGTACACGCCCCAAGGCCACGTGAAAATAAGCCTCAAGCAGGAAAAAGGCACCTTGCACAAAGGGCCGCGAAAGTCGACCACTGTAGTCCTCATCGTGTCGGACACGGGCAAGGGCATTGGGGATGAGTTTCTACACAACAAACTCTTCGTTCCATTCTCCCAGGAAGACTCGCTTGCTGTGGGTACAGGGCTTGGGCTCAGTATTGTGAAGCAGATTGTGGCATCACTCGGCGGCTCCATTGGCGTTCGAAGCCATGTCGGCAAGGGCACGACTGTATCGGTCTCCCTGCCGCTGGCTTACACCGACCCTGGAACCGACAACGTGGGTGAGATGCAGCCGGCAGAAGAGCCATTCGGTTTCGATGGCAGCATTCTCGACTCTATACGGGTGGCAACTGTGGGATTCACCCGCATCCCGTGTGCTGCTTCCGAGGTCAACAGCTTGGCACAACTCCCGCTGGAAAGTCTGCCTCTTAAGTGGTTCAATATCAACCTCTGCGAAGCTGATGACGGAGATCCAGCCGCCCCGTACCCCGATATCATCATTTACAGTGAGGCTGCCTTCATCAAACTTCATGAGAATTCGATCCACGGCCACCCCTTGCCCGTGGTCGTGATATGCCACAGTGCCGGAGAGGCCGTAAGGCTGGACACACTGTTCAGAGAGTCTGCTAAAAGATCTGTAGTCGAGTTCATTTACCAGCCGTGAGTGGGGTCGTGACCATCATTTAACCATCTACTCACGAACTGATAGGAGTACACCCCGAAAGTTCGGCAGGACCCTGGCCAATGCTCTCAATCGCTGGAAGCAGCTCCAAGCGACACATAACATAAGTGACACAGAGGGTTCTAGCAACAATATTGACGAGTCTCCTCTTCTCGCATCGGGCTCAGACAGTCATCGGTCATGGAATTGGACGAATCAAGAACAGTCCAGGGAGAGTGCGCCATCTGTGAATAACCAGCCCCGTCAGCAGATTAACTCGATTTCGAATCCCAATGGGCCGATCGAATCTGGGCATCAAGGGTCTCGATCCAAACAGACACTCGGAAGCAGCCCAGTCAACTCGGCAATCGAAGAAGAGTCTGTCCAGCCGCATTCCCAGTTTCTTCTTGTCGACGATAACTCGATTAATCTGAAGGTGAGTCCACACTTTTCATATATGGCAAGCTCCAAATACTTACCCATCTTCAGATTCTCTCCGCTTATATGAAGAGATTGCACAAAAATTATTGCACGGCTGTGAATGGCTTCGAGGCTCTGAAGACTTTCCAACTGAACCCGGAGAGATTTTGCTGTGTCCTAATGGGTAATGACGTCCAACCTCCAGATGCTACTGAGAAACCGAGGCTGATGAGAATGTCAGATATTAATATGCCAATAATGGATGGTCTTGAATCAACGCGGCTCATCCGCAAATTTGAGAGGGAAAATCACCTCAAGCCTGTCACCATTATCGCCATTACTGGTCTCGCGTCAGACAGCGCTAGAGACGAGGCGTTCGCCAGTGGCCTTAACGTCTTCCTGACACGGCCAGTCAGCTTAGGTCAACTGGTGCCAGTGCTCAAGGAAAGGGTTTTTGATGAGGCGAAGGTCGGAATAGAGTTGTAAAAGCAAGCTAATCACGAGTAGAATTAATTTACTTAACGAGTATGATATTAGCGTACTTGATAAGCATCTGTATAATACAAGCGAGCGGACTATCCAGTTTTATTGCTACAATCTCATCTGTTCTAATTGCTAAAGTGGTACATGAAAACCAGGAGTTCTCATACCAAGTAACCAAGATGCTCAATGCAGCAAGGCGACAGGTCTTCCCGCCAGGGCTTGAATACCCTCACCATCAGTGTCCGCATGTGGGTTTCGAGATCACCTCACTAGTAATTGATCCTTCGGGCAGTCAATATCTACTCTGTCATCCACATCGTCATCATATCACTGCCAAGCCTCCGATCTGACAGCCATTAATTGCCTTCAGTGCCACTGCCTTTCAGCATCGCCGCATTGTAAAAACGGTGGTGTTTCGCAATGTTTGTGGGCAACAGCGAGTCTGGCAACCACATACCTTTACGACAGGCTTTAACTTTCCAATGAGTGAGTGAATCGCTTTTGTTAGGATACCTACCCGAGAGCCGTAAAGCAGTCGGAGTTTACGTTCACCACATCGCATTTCATTTGTTTAAGAAAATTAGAATTATTCACACGGCCAAGTGATGACCTTGTCCGCTGTATCAGTCGGAAAGACTTTCGACATATGCGCCGTAGGTGACATGGATGTACGGCTGATTGACGAGCACGTTGGCGTTTCGTCTGGTTCACTGCAGTGGCAGGATAGGAAAGACTGATGATGACCTCGGACAGCCGAGAGGCTCCGGATCCGTCGGAGTCTTTGGCTTCAACTAGCTATTGATAAAATCAAGGAAAAGCTAGGCCTAGGGCTTATCTGATGACGAGGCCGGTGACGAGGCAAGTGGCGATGGACGCCTACGATAACAGAGGAAAAGCTTCACTTCCGTTATAACCGCAGAAATCCGATATCCCGAAATCCCGATACATGTGATACTCAACGATCTGCCTAGTGACCAATTCATTGACTCAATCAAACACCACGCTGCCTTGCTCAGCAAGTAATTTACAGCATCTCGTCTCATTTCTTCTTGGGTTCCAGAGTTGGCGATGAACGATGCATTCGAATTTTGGGGAGCAAGGCATCCGCAACTTGAACAAGACTCTCGGCTCATCCAGCCTAGTAGTTATCAATTTTGAGTTGAACCTCCCCAAGTCAATACCGATGCCACAACTAATTCTCAGGCAAACCGCCTAGGTAAACACCCACCCGCGGAAGTTGCTAGCAAACGTCACAGCGGCAGCGAGATACTGCTGGTGCTCATCGCCCCAAGTCCTAGCAGCCTCCTTCATCGCCCGGAGAGCTACGCTACTGTCAGCATTGGAAAGTTCCAGCACGCCACAACCAATATTGCACCCACCTTTCACATAATGGGCATCGGTAGCATACGCCGAGTTCAGCGCCTGGTCCTCAACCCACGTCCAAGTACGTCCTTTCAGATCCACGTCGACATTGCCAGGGTCAATAGTAGGCCGGAGGTGCGCAATATATCCAGCCAAGGTCAGGAGCCACCAGCTCCTAACTAGGGGGATATGGAACTTGGCCGGGACCCTGGGCAGCAGGATTCTGACAGCATGGCTCGTCGTAAGTAGGTGCACGATGAAAAAGCTGTACGCATGGCTGCTTGGCTTAACCGTGGACACTAGCAGGGCGACGGCCGCTTCCTGGGACTTCTCGAATTGCTCGACGGGGTCCGTAAGGTCCCACGCGTTCCAGTACTCTAGTACCAGGTCTTCGTGCTTCTCGAATAACCTGTCGATGTTAGATAACGCTGGCCGCTGGAATAACGCGTCGAAACGCTTGTCCTGGGTGACCCGGAGGAGAATCTCTAGCGGGGAGTTCGATCGCCATGCTGGGGGCGTCGTATACTTCTTATCGTCGAAATATCTATGGAGGTAGTTGTATTGTACGGCGGTAAGGGTAACGGCTTCCATGGCGATATCCTTGGAGTTCATCTCGTAGGCATATCCCAGGTGGATGAGAGGGTGTCCAACTAGAGACATTTAGCAAATGATGAAGCGTGCGGGAAATCACCCGCCATCGCGGCATACGGGGACGTACGGCCACCAATGACCCCGCTGATCAAGGGTTTCTCTCCCTTGAACATGACATACTCAACTACCTTCTCCCAGTCGTGCGAGAACTCTGAAGCCAGCAAATGTTCGAAGTAGTCCAGATACCCTTTCTGGTACTCCTTCTGCCCGAGGAGGTCCCGCCAGTTACGGTCAGTAACCTCAGCCGGAGGATCTCGCCAAGGGGCCATCCCCCTCGACTCGACTTCATAAAGACGGTGCAGTTGTTGTTCGGTTGCGCCAAGGAGGTATGCAGAGGAGAGGATGTGCGGGGTATGGTTGTCGAACTGCAGTTGATGGTAAAGGACGGAGTAGTTTGCGTGGTTTTTCTTTATCAAGTGCTTGAGACATTTTGCTGGTCCCCCTTGTTCTGTTTCCACGTCGTGAACCTCCACTGACGGGATGTCGATGATTTGGACGTCATCATTGACAAACCGGTTGGCGACCGGGACGTCGGAAACGAATGCCATAGCGGGGATGTCGTTTGCCACTTGGACGAAGGACGAATGCCTCGGGCGGATCATCCGGAATATGGAATTCCAGCAACACATTTAATTCGTGTGATAGTAACAAAATGTTGATTAAGTTTCTTCAGAGATATAGGGCTCGACGTTCATGGGAGGATTATGAGGCATCAGGAAGATAATTAAAGTAGGGGGTAGAATATTTTGGCTTTCGTCTGTCTTAAATACTTTCGGAATAAAACAATTCCACCAGGCTATTTCTGATAATAAGGTGCCGGAGTTAAGTTAGTCCCCTACTACCTAATTCCGGATAGTGTGGAGGTTGTGTTAATTACTAATACAGTGCCGGCCCGCGGCAGCTCGTACCTGCACCATCCCGTATACACACTATCTCGTATATTAAGAGGTTAGGGTGCCCTAGTACACACATACCCAGAGGGGGGACTAGAAGCTTAACAGTAAAAAAAATACCAATAATAGTATCAAATAATACAGACTATTTACCCAGTCCATTCAAAGATCAACAATACACTCAGACGGACTAAGGTTTCTAGTCCAACTGGTTACCTTTCCCAATACCTTAATGAGCTGCAGGTACCATCCCGTATATAAATCAGCAACAGCCCCTATAAATCTCCCCTAAGAGCCCTAAGAGCCCTATAATTAGAGGCTATCTTGACCACGTAAAATACAGCAGTTTGCACCCCTTCCGTGGCCTTCCTTATAACAGTTAAACTCTAGTGTCACAACCTATGTTAAATGCAGGAGGTCAGTGGAACGACCTGGTCGCGATCTGCATCAGGACCCAGGGAGGGGTACCACGTTCCCGAGGCTCCAAAAACCCGCGCATTGGTTAATCCGTCCGCGATCACTCTGTGATTACCTACGATCACTAGTAGTTACAATTACCGCCAAGGGGATCACGATCAGAGCACCCTAGTATATTAATACGAGGCACTGGTTGTTATTAGGACGTCAGCCCCTGAGCTATCAACACACTTGGTGATATCAAACTACCCTTTGACATATTACTAGACCGTGGCCTACATTGCTTCACGCCGACATCTGATTACACTCCAATTCAATACTGAACGCCTTCTTACCTATTCTACATCTTCACGATAGGTAGATATAGACTGTTAATCCTATTGTTGGTATTTGCTTTTACTAGTAAACTTTTAGTCCACCCTCGGGGAATGTGAGTACTAGGGCACCCTAACCTCTCAACAATTCGCTCTCTTATACTCTACTAAAAGGGGACAAATTATATTAATCACTGCACCTTAAACCGAACTAAAACCCAACTCAACCCCTCAGCTTCCACCTTGCAACTATACTAATTCAGGGGTTTTATATCTCTGAAAAAGTATCAAATCGCAACGAATCATGGACTAGATCAACAAGATGGAAAACAAGAAAGCCATTAAAGCAGCTCCGGTAGCCATAACCTTTGAACTTCCTGCGGTAGCCGCAGGCGTCGATTCTCCAGTACCCGTCGATGTCTCTTTCGTGGTGGTGGCTTCCGCCAAGGCACTAACGTCGACGGCAACCAGTGTTCGCAGCAACTCAGGGGTCGTGTAGGAAACACTATCGGTGGCGTAGCTCACACTGGAGAATGGAAGCTCGGAGACAGTCGAAGCATGCGGGAAGGCGAGACGGTCAGTGGGATCGGCAGCAGGCTCGAGGTCGGCTCTGTCAAAAGGCGCGGAGCCAGGGTTGAGGACACTATGTTGGTCAGTATGTGTTCATAGAGGAGAGGATATGACTTACCCGTCAATAACGTGCGCAACACCGTTGAATAGTAGGACGTTGGGAAATAGAATCTTGGCACCATTCACCCAGGCGCTTCCATCCTCAGCCACGGTAAACGTTAGGTCCGCGCCCTGCAAACTCGGCAAGCTCACGTTGGCCAGGTCCGTAGAGAAGACGACGTCGTCCACGATGTGGTACGTCAGGACCTCCCGCAACGTGTCCAGATCAGCACCCTCGAGCACGGAGCCAATCGCCTCAAAGGCGGGGTCGTTGGGCACAAAAACTGTGAAATCGGAAATGTTCAACTTGTCAGCCGTGTCATAGCCTATGTTGCCGAAGTTGTACGGCAAGTCGGCCGTGGTGAGCGCGGCGTTGAAGTTGAGGAGGCCGTCGCGGCGGGTGAAGAGTTGGAGGGGGGCACCGAAATAGAGGGGACTGTCAATCTTGTGGATGATGACGCTGTCGCCGAGTTTGATATCCTTGATATGGTTAGCATATACCCTTGCTGGAAGATAGAATGGGGCTCACTGCTTCAGTCACGGTGGAGAGCGCTTGCTCGCCGGAGATGACGACAACGTCCTTGCCATTTTTAACGATACCGTTGTACTGGCCTCCAGTGAAGTTGCCAAAGGGCTGGCGGTAGTTGACGAAGCTACTTTCAAGAAGCGACTGGAAGAACTGGGGCACATTGGTGACGGCCTTGGCGGGATAGTAGCCCTTCCACACGTGGTTGGACAGCAAAGCGCCGATGGCGATGGTGTCGTTGGCATATTCAATAGCTTCACCCTCAGGAATATCTCTGGGCACAGAATCAAATGCGTCGTTGGTGGGCGCGAAGATGGTGATGTTGCTGGCAGATGCGAGAGTCTCAGCAATGTCTGGTACGAGGGCGAGGAGAGAGGCCAAGGTGGAAAGGTCTTCCTGAGAGGCAATCAGGGAAGCCAGATCGGATTGAGCGACGACGGCAGTCGCCAAAGCAGCGAGGTTAAGCAGGCGCATTTTGAAGAGGCTTCTGGGGTAAAGCGGTAGTTTTGCAAGTTTGTTGAGATAGAACAATGGTTGTAAGGCTGTTGAGGCAGGAAGTTGATGGTGATGCTGTGATGATACGGAGCGCGCTGCTGGCTTATATATACTCTATCCTGAAGGCTACCACGACTCTCGTCAATCCCATGTCGAAACTCGCCAAGACAAGACGCCAGATCGAAGCATCATCGATACAGCCTCCTCGTAACCCTTCCTTCCATCAACTCTCTGAAAATGCAGTGTGACTGTTGCTCAGCCTCCAGGAAACAAGGGTCTGGCGAATATTCGCCGTCTCCATAAAATAAAGTGCCGGTGAAAGTTGACCGTCCCCACATCAAATGCCACGGGGAAAATGGGTAGGCTAAATTGCTAGTGTAGGATTCTCCCACGATGAGTAGATTTGCCAAGAGCTTGTCTTGATCGAGGTCGGAGCCGAAGGAGGCGCTGGAACTCCACGATTGGCCAAGGGGGATGCATGTCTAACGTGGAGCCGAGAGTCGTCGACGTCATAGGGAACTGCGCCACATGGGACTCGGACTGATCCGAAGACCGAGGCAGGGATGCCATGAGGTAGGGATGCTGTCGAGAATTACGGATCAGAGACGAAGGCATCGTACGAGGAAGATGGATTAGGAACGCTTATTGTGGATCAGACTACCAATTACCTAACTTACTCGGCGATTTCCCTTTCCATATTCATCTCATACCGCCCTATCATCGACTCATAGTCGTCCAACCAGGCCGCAATCCATTCGACTGAGCCTATGATCCTCGTGTTCCAATTGCCCATATGGGGATCAAGCTTAAGAAGCAGAGCGTTGACAGCCATGAGGTCGCCTATTGCCTCTCTGATGCGGAGAGAATCACGGGATAGCACTTGGCCGTAGGTGTTCCCTGGCGCTGATACTGCAACGAATGCTTTGACGAGGATAAAGAGTACATAGCTCACAGCCGGCCCGAAGCACAGGGACGGCAGACTGAGGATCAATCTAGGCTCCATGTGGAGGACCAGCTTAATGGCAAGTTGACTGGCCTCCACAAGTGTCCGAAGCGCTGTCTCGGCCGTGCTAGTGACTTCGATGGGATGAGCGAATTCTAGAACACCTATTCTCTCCGCAACATGAGGCCCCGCAAAAAGAACCTTATTGGTCTTGGTGTGCAGCACTGGCTCGTTGACATAGATGACAGCCAGCACACGCCAGAAGCTAAGTTGCGGATCCTGTGCAAGCGCCTTGCTATTCAGCTCACCCAGTCTGTCGCGAGCCTCAGCTTGAGTAGTCCTCACAAGGGCAGAGTTGATGTCGTGAAACGAATCAGGATTGCAGAGCTTCAGGGCAAGGGCTATCTGGGCATGAAGCCTCACAGTGTGGAGTATCTCCAAGAACAGAGGATCCGAAGCCTCCTTCTCCAATGTGCATAACGCATTATGGTGTGACAAGCCCCAGCCAAATCCATGTGTCCTCCTCATACCAATGGCAGCCATGGTCGAAGCCACCCATGATACCAGCCAAGTCTGCTGCATTTCCAACGGCAGAGGTCCCTGTATGCGGAAGAAGTAGGCTGGCGCAGAGCTTTGCATGGCCGGTCCTCCCAAGCCGAGTTCCACGCTGAGGTCGTGCGCTAGCTTGACGAGCTGGATGGAGTTGGCGTGGTTGCCGTCAAGAGAGGGTCTGATCCAGAGGCTGGCTACTAGCAGGGCTTGGATCAGATCGTGCGAGGGGTTCTCGAAACCGACGGCAGCTAGACCGAGAGTTTCCAACACCTTTTTTCGCAGTTCTTCTTGAGTTTGTTGGCCAATACCCGCATCTGTCGGCGACATGGCGAAGGCAAACATGGCGAGGAGCGTAGTTGGCATCTCTGTCCTCATAGACTGCAGACGTGATGTTGCTGAGCTGCCATCTGCTGAGCTGCCGTCAACCAAGGGGATGATGGACCAAAATAGCCTAGTGGTCGTCGAGCATACCTCGAGGCATCGGAGTTGGGAATCGTGATGAAGACGCGCATCCAGAAATGCAAGGCTGTCACACGCAGATGATGCAGCGTTTGTCGAGAATGCCATGCCTTCACCATCCGCAGTCGAAAGCACCGAAGTTGCCCTTGTCGAGTCCCCATATGCAGACAGCCCTTGCATCGAAGACCCCCCGTCCAATATCTCCTGCAGACTGCTGACCTGCTCCTCCAACTCGGCGATTCGGTCTTTCTGCCACCGTCTAGCCGCAGGTACGCAGGTGAGACCGGAACGAGTGCATCTCTCGCAGACGCTCGGGTTGATTGGCGAGGCTTCACACTTGATCTTCAAAGCTTGGCAGGCTTCGCAGGCGCGAGACCTTTTCCCCATGGTCACACTATGGCTTCGGAGTCTGATGAGTACCTTAACATTGCGTCTCGAGGTGCTAGTGAATCACTTTAATGGCGAGATCCGTGAATGCCGCAACTTGGAGAGGCCCAGCCCAAAGGTCCCCCGCTATGGCCCAATGCTACCTCAACTCTCATCTGAACAGGGCTGAGCAGGAGGCTGTGCGATGCTCTCGCAGCACGTTTTGCGTCATGATGGATCGTGGAATCCGATGCCAAGACTGGGCGAGATTGCCGACGATCGACCTTGGGTCTCGTTTGGAATCATGGACCTCTTAGTTGTACAGGGCTAGACTCTAATAGGCCAAGGCTGCATCACATCATAGATGCCGCGTTCAGATCGAGTAACTCAGCCCTGTTATTTTCTGATAAAACAATGCTCTTTCAATCTTTCTTTTGAGGGCTCGGATGTGACTGAAATCAACTGTTCCTTGGTGACATAACTTCGCTGGACACGTTGTTTTCCCTGAGTGGGTCAATAAGCGGTTATTTAACTTAGCCGCCCAAATCAAATCAACTTGCCGCAAGACGTGAATCAATCGCCGATCCACCTACCCTATATCATGCTTGAGATATCCATCCCAAGCCGACAGAGATGACGGCAACGGCCTTAAAGACGTCTGGTGTCTTTGGTCGGCAATTTCCAATGCTCGTATCTTACCAGGTCAAGAGCAAGGAACAAAGAGGGACATGGCAGCGCCATAGGTGAAACTAAAGACGAAGATTTGCTGCTCATCGATATAAAGGTTGGACTTGACAGCATCGATGATCTGCTCAGGAAATGTGTCGTCTTTTCCATTAATGTTCGTCCAACTGGTATCCAAGCCCCTGAGGGGCAAGTAGGAGGAAGACGATAGCGAGAAGGTTGGTGAACATGGTGAAAGGATCGCGTTAACTTGTTATATTGGATAAAGGTAAAGGTAGGAAGCTCTTTCAACGCTAGGTGAAAACCCAGCTTGCTCTCAATATTGAAATACGACTTTTCCCTTCCGCGGAAAATACTATCAGAAGAAAACAAGAACCCACTATTTCATAGAACCGCCTCATCAGAAACAAGGGCGATATGACCATAAAACAGACGGATGAAGGTCGACAATCTTGGCAACCTCTATCTTGCAAAAGACCGCGTTGCCAATGGAGGAGTAACTTCCGCTGATCCCGGGGGTTCTCAAATCTTTTGAACCCCGCAATATGTGGCCATCAAGGCGCAGTCACCTTCCACGTGGTGATGTGTTTACAAACTGCCGAGACCTGTCGGTAGTTTAGAGGGTGAGGCTAGGGGCATACAGCTCTAGATGCAAGAGTAATAATAAACACTTATTGATTGTTTTAGCCGACGATGTTTGCAAAAGAACAACAAGTGGCCGTTTTTGGCCCCTCGTGTCCTGAAACATACCCACGACCTAAGGTTGCTTGCGTCCATCTTATAGTGCGCTGATCCCTAATGGACAGAGCATGCCCTTGAAACACCGAGGCCACTTCTCCGCAATTTAATACTTACGCTGTGAACCATTGCTCTTCACGCCCAAGTTGCGAATATCTTGCAACTAAATTACTAAATTTTAATTCACACCCATCACTTTCCAACAATGCAAGCTAAGACAAATGATGCAAGTAGGTTTAACGATTCATGAGAGGTGTACTCAACCTTGTCAACCCGGCCGAGATGGTAGCATGATAGCGAGTAATAATGCGTTAGCGGTGTCGAAAGTCTATGACATGGACTAAGACCGCTTTGAGACTCTTTCCGAGCGGCGCATTATTCTCATCAGTTTCCTAAGTAGTCAGAGGAGTAAGGCACACCACTACCTAAAAGCTACGCGAAACGGACAATTGTACTTTTGTCGAAGCCGGCACTAAATAGATGGGCTCATGCCCAAAAGCACGGTACGGACCCGCTCCTCCGCCCCGCCGCTGTCTCTTTAGGTACGTAAAGAATTGTTAAGGCCGGGTAGAAATGCCAGGGTCTGTTAAAAATGGGAAACAAGGACCTTCTGGCTCCATTAGGAATCGGTGGGTTTGTCGTAGATAGACAAAGGAGGCTGAAATGAGACACATTAGCCGGCCCATGCTCGGATGCCGGCAAAGAAGCATACCCTGGTCCCTTATTTGCCATTCGGGGGGAACATCTCCATTCATCTGATCTATGGCATGCATGAATGTTCATACGTGGAACCTTGCTTCTGGGGTGTTTATGAACATGATGATCGGATGGTATGGAAAAAGGGGAGCGGGTAAATTGGCATGTTCTCGTATTTGATGGGTTTCATGTTTATGCAAAGTGGAGTCGACGCCAGCGAGAAGGGGAAAGGATACGGAAATGGGAGAGACGGAGAAGGTAGACAGCGTTCTAAGAAGCGAAAACGCGACACAAAGTACAAAGGGTGATGTGGGTTCAGAAGTGTACATATATCGTGTGCTGGCCGGTCTTGGCTGACGATACAGAAGCAGCAGCACCAACATCAATGCAAATCATCATCGCCCATCAATCGCCATGAAACTCAGCCTTGCTTCCATCGTAGCCCTTGCTGGCACTGTCACCGCTCAGCTCCAGCAGGTGACCAGCTTTGGCTCCAACCCATCCGGAGCCAAGATGTATATCCACATCCCCAACAACCTGCCGGCCAACCCAGCTGTTGTCGTTGCCATCCACCATTGCCAAGGCACGGCCCAATCGTATTACCAGAGCACGCCCTATGCGCAGCTGTCGAACCAGAAGGGCTTCATCGTCATATACCCCGAGAGCCCCTACAGCGGAACCTGTTGGGACGTCAGCTCCAAGGCGACCATGACCCACGATGGCGGTGCCAACAGCAACAGCATCGCCAACATGGTTCGATACGTCCTGACCAAATACAAGGCCAACAAGTCCAAGGTTTTTGTGACTGGATCCTCCTCTGGAGCCATGATGACTGTGAGTCGACCGTGAATCTTGATCCAAGTGTCAGTGTTTATGCATGGGTGCTAATAGTGAGCATAGAACGTCATGGCCGCTACCTACCCAGACCTCTTTGCGGCCGCCATCGTCTACAACGGCGTCCCAGCTGGCTGCTTCTTCACCAACTCGGTCAACGGCTGGAACTCTCAGTGCGCTCAAGGAAACGTCAACAAGACGCCTGCCGAGTGGGCCAAGCTAGTCACCGATGCTTTCCCGGGCTACAACGGAGCCCGCCCCAAGATGCAGATCTACCACGGCGGTGTCGACACCACCCTCCGACCTGCCAACTACCAGGAGACTATCGACCAGTGGTCTGGTATTTTCGGCTACAATCCCACGAAGCCCCAGCAGTCCCAGAGCGGCGTTCCCCAGAGCGGCTACCGAACTGACACCTTTGGCCCTAAGCTGGTCGGTATCTTTGCCCAGAACGTTGGCCATACCGTGCCTGTCCGGGGCGACGATGACATGAAGTTCTTTGGCCTGTAAATATTCGGGAGATATGGATTGTTTATGTAGATATTCCCCGGCGATTCGCCCTTGCATATAGGCAAGTAGATGCTAGAAAAGGCCTTTTAGTATTAGAAAATATCTGGTCTAACCATTCATGATGTTTCCCTATCTGCTTCTAAAATTGTGGCATCCTAGCTAAACACGGGCTAGACGAGATGAGACGTAGGGGGTTTGTCATTAACTGGCTATGGTAAACCCACGAGCAAGTCTCGCAGCTTGGCAAACTTGGGAGACCCAAGCCCAGAAACCGGATCCCACCCTTTGGCTGCCTCGAATCCCTGCGTGCCGCATCCAGGATTGCGGCCATCAGTGATCTGTGCAAGCGTCAATATAAGGTCAAATCGACGATTAGTCAGGACTTACATCTGTGAAAACTTCAGGATGCTGGTACAGTATTTGGTTCAAGAACCCGATTGGTTTCTTCCCCGCCAGCAGACGCTCGTCGTTGATCCTGTTGATCATGGCGGCGAAGAGGGGAGCGGCAGCGCTGGTGCCTCCGCTGACTGTGATTTTATCTTCGTCTGACAATGTAACGTTCGCGCCTAGAAGTGCAACATCGGGAAAGGCTCGTCCGGAGGAGTTGTAGGTTCCGTTAGGGTAGTGAGGATTATGCGCCGCGAGATAACTGGCAACAGCTTTCTGTTGATACGCCGGTCGAGAGTTGACATTGCTGAAGCCTCCTGATGCAAGTGTTAGAGCAGTGAACCGGAATGGGGGATATGGCTCTCACCTCCGGAGTAAAAGTTGTGCTTGGGGTCGAAAACCGCAACTTCGCGACTACGCGATCCGTCAAAGTTCACCTGTGTTGCACCTACTGTGGTCACGTACGGACATGAGCCTGGGAACAGAGGGTTGAAAATCTCCTTCTTCGGGTCCTTGGGGTCAAATATGCACCCCATACCGCCCTGGACGCCACGGTCTCCAGCCGCGACGACAACCGTGACGCCGCGGAGAGCCAGCTTCATCCACTCGTGGCACTGGCGTTGGACGTAATGCCGGGGCAAGGACGATTCGTCCAATGCAAATGAGATGGAGACGACGTTGGTCACCTTGTACGTGCCGCACATGGCCGGTCCCTGCCAGCCTCCGAATATGGGAAACTTTGGGTCGAACTCCGGGTCGTCTCCCCCGTCGTAGTGACAGTAGCTCGCATCAACGGCGTCAAGGAAGTCGTTGAGGAGACCGCCACCATTGTTGTAGTTGGTTTGGAAAACGATGACTTTCTGTGGCCACACGATGGGATACGCCATCTGCAGGTCGAGCAGTTCTTCGCCGCCGTTCTCATCGCCAGGTGCTGTAGCGCCGTTGATACTGTTCACCTTCGGCCCCGTTCCCTTGGGGATGAACTTGGCGTACTTCGACCAGAAGTTGTCGAGATTAGCTTGATTGTAAGCGTCGCCATTTCCGTAGATGCCGAGGGAGTTGTTTGGCGCGGCCTTGGTGCCGAGTGGAATGCCGTACAGCTCTGCGGGCTGTTAGACCTGATTGATTGATGAGGGATCGCACTTACTGCGGATGCAGGCGGGAGTCCAGCTGAGGTCGCAGCTACTCAAGTCCTCGGGCACGGGAATCCTATACGGCGTCGACGGAGTAACGTGCGAGTTGGTTGCACGGCGGCGCTTTGTCTCGCCAGCTGGCGAGTATGGCGTCAACATAATGAGCTGCACATGGTCTTGAAGCCCTGCCGGAACTTCATGGATAGAGGGCTCTAGACGTCGCTCCGCAGTCGTAGTGTCTTGTACGATGTTGTACTTCGTCTTCATTAGGTCTTCCAGTTGATCGACACGAGCTAAAAACTCCATCACCGCGGCTGCCTTCTTGAGCCGTACGGAAGCCATATCAATGCCTGCACTTTCGAGCCAGGAACGTGCTTTTTGCTGGGAGCTTTCGGGAGGAGCAAAGAAAGCCTCCTACTTATGATCAGAGGACGGTGTTCCAAATAACGAGGCGAATGAGCTCACCACGGCGCTGCTGTCAAGATATTGGCCAAACCTGCTAGAAGTAGGATCGGATATGCTCATCAACATGGACTCTGCCTCAGTAACTCGTGGTTGATGGAACGCAATAGCACCCCGGACAATGTCGGAGCCATCGGCTTGAGACACGGGTTTCCATTCTGGTTGAGGACGCGCAAATGCCGGTTGCGAACTCAGTAGGGCGACATAACTCGCGCAAAGGTAGGGGATGCGCATTGTATCGAAAAGAGGTCGCGATATTGCGTCTTTGCGCGAGCTAGTTTAATGCTCACAATTGAGACTGAACGTCCCGAGTTACTTGACGCGCCAAGACCGAGGGCATCCGTTCCCAATAAATAATAGCTAGACTGGGAGACAACGCTGAACGTCTCGTATCGTGCATACTGTACCTCGTATTTTCCCTGCCAGCATTGGGTGCCTTACTGCTCCTGGCTAGTACAATCCTCGTAATCAGGGAGTACCCGGGTGCTCTGACTTCGCTAGCTTGGGCTGCCCCTTGCTAGGCAGCTTATGTGACCATTTAATGACCTTGAATAGGTCTGCATGAAGTGTTATGTATTTGTTCACTGGAGCTCCCGCCCCTGAAGGTCAGGGGTGTCTAGATTTCCCGAGCTTCTTAATATAGGCTAGCTCAGCGAACCCTCACCAACTTCGGCCCGAGAGACCATCAAAGAGACCACTGCATATTAAGTTCTGCAACATTAAGCACATCATTCACTTGCAGGCAAGTTGCAGCTGTTAACGTCCAGCATATGCCTTGTCGCAGCCTTGATGATCAGCAAAGCGGAAGTGGAGCCGTTGGGAAGCTCTGACGGTGTTGAAATAAATCGTACATCTTGCTCACTAGGGCGAGCAATAAAGCCTCCGACGGGGTGCCACAAACTCTCCTCTTCATCCCCATACAAATCGCCCTTCTTAGCAAGGCCGTTATAATCCGTGCTGGAAGACGAGGCCCGAGAGTTCGAGAGTGCGGAGGGTGAGTCGTAGATCTCAACTCCCGCGATTAAGGGGGTTGGGACGTCTTGGAAAGAAGTGAGAACTAGTTTTAGGACTTGGTCATTTCTTTCAAGAGTTTAGTGTATATCTATTGCCTGTTAATAGTACCTGAAAATATTTGGCTTCATCCAGGCCCGTGAACCTACTAGTAAGTGAATGGTCGACCAGGTCAGGCGATGCTCCCAATCTGCCTAGGAGGTCTCGACAGGAGAAGCGAAAACAGTGGCCTAGCTGCCCCCTAAAAGAACCTTTTTACCACATTCCACGATTGGACAAAGGATTGATTAGCACTTGGTCCGAAATAAGCCTCATCTGCGGGGTAACGGAATCCAAGTGCCGTTGAAAAGCGCCAAAGACATTTGCTGGCACGCAAGACGGTTATCGTAAGAAGACGTAAGCATCGCGTGATCAATGTCCTGGCATTTTCTCGCCAATGATGTACCACCAACTCAGCCTTGTTCTGTACCGTCTGAGGTGATACCTCGTTCAAATGGTCGGTGTAAAGCCTCAGTGGCTCTCTGGCTGGCTAAGAAATGTGACAGTCCAGAGTTAAAGGCTCGAGTCGTAAGATGTTGTCGCCATTGGTATGCTATCGGATATTTACTGGACGACCGCGTCTTTGCTTCCAGGAGGGGGAATTCAAATGGTAATGGGCACTCTTTTTCATTCCTCGCAAAGAAATGGAAGACGGATGGGATTTTACATGATGGCAACGACAAAATCAGTTCGTGTATAAGAAGGCCTCACGCACCCCGATAATGCTTATTTTTCATCATCCTCTCTCACCATACTCTCTCATCACCATACTCTCTCATCAACATACTCTCATCACCACACTCTCTCATCACCATCTCTCATAGTCAGCTTGCCCAACAAGGCAGCAGCAACCAAGAATCAAACCTCGCTTCCATCAGATACGAGATCCAACTTCTCCGACTTCATCATGGCTGGCCCTCTCACCCACCTCCAGCTCATCCCGGCTGACACCATCACCGCGCTGTACGACAGCGACACCGATACGCTCTACCTCAATGCTGCAGGTGAACACATGGACATCACCCGAGACATCGGCTTTAAGCGCCTGCCATTCGCCGGGGGCCTGCTCTTTGATCTGAAAGGCTGGGTCGGCCCCATCATCCTCGGCGAATCGCCCTACTCTGCCACGTCCAGCTTCAACATCAAGCTCCCCAGCCCCGTGACCCCGTCAAACACCGTGGTCGTCAACACCGAGAACAAGAAGGGGTGGGTTGTGCCCATTCAGCCGCTCCTCAAGGACGGTCCCCAGGACGGTCCCCAGGAGACGCAGGCCGCTGTTGAGACTAAGGCAGCTCCCAGCGACATCCCCGAGGTCAAGACTGTCGCCGGCAACCCTGAGATCGTCACCGGACTTGGGCAGCACTTCACTATCAAGCAGGCTGACTCTATCAAGAGCCAAGGCGCAGGAATTAACATCTCCTTTGACAAGAACTACGTCGCCCTAGACGACGCCAGCATCACAGACGGCAAAATCGAGTGGAAGTTCACCTCTCACCAGGTCGGCGCCACCGAGGTTGTCGTCACCATCGGCCAGTCCGACCCCATCTGGATTCAGAGCATAATCTACCAGGTGAGCATCGCGCCGCCCAACTCGGACACCAAGATTAAGCCTCTGGCCTCCTTCTCCGTCGCCCCGGCCAACGGCTCCTCGAACGGCTCCAAAGTCCCTACTCCCAAGAACAGCATCCCCCTTTCGTGGGACGGCTTCGTCAATTCCGGCTACAACCTCATCAAGAACCAGTACCCCGAGGCCAAGCTCTACGTGATTGAAGCCAAGTCTGCGACGGGCGAGCCGGTGGAAACCGAGTGGGGTCTGGTAAAGAACCGCATCATCGCCAAGATCGACGACAAGAAGACGGCAGTCATCACGTCCATCGGCTGGGGCTCTTTCGGTCCCGTCGAGGTCATCCAGGCTACCTTTGTCGGCAATGACGTCCTTGATTGGCCTCTGTCCTTGGAGATCCATGAGGCCTTTGCCATCCTCCGGAAGGGAGGGTACGAGAAACCTGTGAGCGAGGTTACGCTGCGCAGCCCCCTGATCCCTGGTCCCGTCAACCAGGCATATTACTTCTTCAAGATTGGCAACGAGGTTATTGCCATTGGCGCGCTTGACAAGCAGATCCAGAACGCTAGTCCTACGGGGCATGAGATTCAGCAGTCTTAGGAGGCTGAGTGTACTTGGAGACGGGCGTGAAATAAAACCATCTTCTCTTCTTACTTTTGCTTATCAGCTTAGATAATTAATCTTAACGAGACAATTTAAATTATCTAGTGGATGCTGAACTTAGACTAGTATTTGATTCTAGTTTAATTTAACAACTACTACTACTACTACTACTACTACTACTACTACCACCAATGAAAGCTATTAAGCATTTACTAGCTGTAATAAATAATAAGAGTTATATAATTAATTAAAATTACTATATAACTACAGAAAATAAAGAAATAAAGAGTATGCTGAAGTACTTAACAATTCAAAAATAGCAGTCAGTTAATCTCCTACACTAAACCTTAATCTCTACAGCTACATTAGTTAATTTTCAACCTTAGCTTAGCTAGTATTGTAATCAGCCAAACTAATTGCTCCTGCAGCTTGAAGCAACTGAACAATCCGTGTATAGCCACTTCTAGACGCCTCGAACAGTGCTGTGCTTCCTATGTTATCCTGTGCATTAACATCTACCATCCCTGTTGCCAGCAGCAATTGAGTAATACCCATATGTCCCCTTTTCGCAGCTAGCAGCAATGGTCCTTCTTCCACGTTATTCCTAGCGTTCAAATCAATGTTTTCTGTCACAAGAAGAAGCCGAACAATATCTGTCCTGCCAAACTCGGCAGCTACTAATAGCGGTGTCTGCCCCCAGTAATCTCTTGAGTTCACATTCAACCCTTCCACAATCAGAAGCAACTGGACCATTTCTGTATTGCCACGGAGAGCGGCCGTTATGAGTGGGGTCTGTCCCATGTTTGTTCTGGAGTTGACGTTGACCTTTTTCAGAGTCAGAAGTAGTCGAACAACCTCTAAGTGATCATGTTCAACTGCGACTTGTAGTGGTGATACCCCTGCCTCATTAATTGACGTGAAATCCTGGTCAGTGTGTGCCGCTCTTTTCAGCAAAGCATTAAAAATGCCTGTAGAACCAAACCCAGCCAGTACGTGCACGACCGTGGTTCTTTCAAATGTCGTGGAAAATGAGCCAAATTTTGGCCATACCAGAGATATTTTTCTCAAGGACCATTCGAATTCTGTAAAAATGTCCTCCCCAGATATGCCATTCGCCTTGCACTTCTTCGCGTGAAAAGTCCACCACTCGTGAGCATATTCCAAAATCTCGAAGGTTGATGTCACTGTCGATAAATATTCAACGGAAGGGTCGAGCTGCTGGAACTCATCCAATGCCAAAGAACGCATGCAAGCCTTGAAGATGCTAAAGTGACCATGTGCGGTCACGATAATATCGCTTGGTGGTCGGCTATCCTTCGAAACCTCAAGAATTGCTAGACCTTTTTGGCCGAAAAACTCCTTCACCGATTGATGGATGAATTGTACTGTCGTATTTGAATACAGCCCGTGTACTGTCTCAGCCAGTCCGCAAGTGAGAGATTTGATCCGCCTTTCCATGGTCGCGTTGTCAGATACAAAGTCTTCTGACTCCTCGAAATTTGAACGCATTTGGCTTGCACAGATGTTGTCAACGTCGATAGCCATGGCCCACCGCAGTTCGTCTAATGACAAAGGCCGCGACGCAAAGTAGATCCACTGTATCAGTTTGAGAGGTGTGTCCCTCGATTCCAACTCTTGAATCAGCTCAGTGAATAGTTCTTCTTAGCTCGGAGGTATTTCCTGGATTTTAGCTTGGATTTTGTTGTTCCCTTCTCCTCGGCGCTCGAGTTTCAGGGCTAGGTCCGCAACTAGGTGAGCCCAGAGAAAAACCCCTGAGGCACGTTGAATAATTGTCTGCGAGATCTCCGTAGCAATGGTGATGCAGGAACTAGATAGTCTGCTCTTTATATATGTCGCGACATCCATCGAGTTCACATGCTCCATGCAAATTTCCAATCCGTAGTCGACCTTCAGGATAGGATAGTGTCGACATGAGAAACAAATCTTGAACTTTGAGACGGTAGGTGGGAGTTCTTTGATGAGAAGCTCGAACCAATCGACCAGCTTGACAGCAGCGTCTTCTCCACATTCATCAAGAGCATCGACAAAGAGATTTACGGGATGTGTCTTTAGGACTTCACACAGTGAAGATCCAAAATCATCCGGTATCTCCCTTTCATGCCATTGCCACTTCTCACTTAACACTCCCTTAGCATTACATAGTTTCTTGAACGTGTTAATAAGTTGATAAAAAAAAGTAATATACTTTAATATTTAAAATAAGCTCTTAAATAGCCTTTTTAAGTTTTTTAAATATAAATCTTTCTTAATTAATAGCTAACTTATAAATATCTTAATAAAGCTATTAAATTTTAATAAAAAGTTATATATTGAAATTATTAGCTAACTTAATAAATTTAATTAGCTTTTAAAGTATTTATAAAATAAAAGTTTTTATAAAATTAGCTAAATAGTATATTAAATTTCTTATTAAAAATATTTATAATATAGATAACTATAATAGATAAGTATTAAAAGGGAAGTTAGTCTCTTAATAATAGAAGATATTAGTCTCTCTTATATCCTATTACTTAGAATAAGGTTACTATCTTAAGGTTATTAACTGTAGATAGTAAGGTTGTTAACTATAGATAAAAGAGTTAAAGTTAGAGGGGTTAAATAGAAGCTTTAAGTAGAGATTAATAAGTAATAACTTTATTATTTAGCTACTATTTCTTCTAGTACTAAATAAAGTACTTATTATTTATTTCTACTATTTATAATTATTATATAGCTTTAATTTATTTAATAATATTAAGTAAAGTTAAAAAAACTAAATAAATAACTATAATATAAAAGAAAATAATTAAATAAGAAAATACTTTTAAAAAAAAGTTTATATAATATAACTAATAAAATTAAAAATAATAATATATTTAGTATTTTATTTAAATCTTTTTTAAGATAATTTAATTTATTTTTATTATTAAATTTATTTTTATTAATAATTAAATTATTATTTCTTTTAAAGTAAATTTAATTTAATATATAAAAATAAAGTTAATATATTAGATAGTTAGAGATACTTAAGCTAGCTAATTACTAATAGAGATATTTTTAAAATAACCTAAATAGAATTAAAAGAGAAGGTTAATATTATTACTAGAGGAAATTATTATCTTTTTCTTTTATTAGAAATTCTTCTAAGAAGTTAAAGAAGCTAGAAGAACTTAAGGCTACTTAAGAGTTTATTAATTAATTGCCTTTATTTTTAAGAGATTTATTTAAGTATTCTTACTATTATTATATTTCCTATTTAACTTCTATCTTTAATATCCTTTAAATATTAAGCTGCTATAGGCTTTATTAATATCTTACTAGTAAACTTTCCTATAATTAACTTAATATTTTATTTTATAAGATACTTTTCTATTAAAAGATATAAGCTTTAAATTAATTTAATTTTATATATATAATTTAATATAGCTTTAAGCTAATTAATTAAGATATTTATATAATGATTTTTTGTATATCTTTTTTAAAGTAAGTTAATAAATTAAGTATTTTTTTTTTTTTACTATTAAATTAATAGTAAAGATATAATTATATTAAATAGTATTTTTAATATAAAATAAATATAAAAATTTAATATATTAAAGTATTTTATATTAATAAAAACTAATTAATTTAAAATTACTTTATTTAGCTATTATTAAATATAAAATCTGAAGTTAAAAAACCTACTATTAAATATTAATATAATTAAAATAAATTTTAATTTAATTTTTTAATTTTAATTAATATAATAGTTATTTTATAAAAAGTAGCTTATATATAATATAATAATTAAATAAAGTATTTATATATATATAATAAAAGAAATTACTTTATAAATTTATTACTAATAATAAATATTCTTATAGTAATATTTTTATTTATTTATTTATTATTATTCTTTTTAAATTTAATTTTTAAAGTAATAAAAGTTTTATTATTTTTTAATAAGGAAATTTAATAATTAAATTTACTATATTTTTATTATATATATATTATAATTACTAAAGCTTAAGTTTTAAATTTTAAGCTGCTTTTTTCTTTTCTATTAGAATCCTATTTAACTTTTTTAACTCTAACCTTAATAATTATATTAAAAACTTCTACAACTCAACTTAATATCTTAAAATCCCCAACACTAATAATAACCTATTTAAGTTATTTAAATTCCCCCTCTAGCTAGTATTCTATATAGCTAGTATTTATACTAACTTAATATAATATAATAGCTTCTAGAACTAGAAGTTATATTAAATCCCAGTAATATTCTAAAAAAAGATTTAACCTTTTAAAATAAAATTATTAATATTTTTAATTAAGTTATAAAGTATATTTATTTCTATTTAAATATATAAAATAATACTATAAATAAGAATTTAATTTTCTTATTTATTAACTTTAGTTTTATTATTAAAAAGTAAAAATATTTAAAAATAGCTAATATAATTTATTAATTTTTATTTAGATATTATAAATAGTATAGTAATAGCTTAAATAGATTTTCTTTTTTAAGAAAATTTAAGAGGAAATTTAATTTTTATTTTTTAAATTTATTTTTAAATTTTAAGAGAATTTAAAATTATATTAAAGTTAGAATTTATAATATAAATATAATAAGTTATTTTTAAAAAGAGCTACTTAAATAAAATTTATTATATTAAAAATTAGTTATAATAAGATAAGTATTAAAAGAAAAGTTAGTTTTTTAATAATAAGAGATATCTTTTTTATATTTTATAGCTTAAAATAAAGTTATTATTTTAAGGTTATTAATTATAGATAGTAGAGTTAAAGTTAGAGGAGTTAAATAAAGCTTTAAGTAGAGATTAGTAGGTAATAATCTTATTATTTAGCTACTATTTTTTTCAATATTAAGTATACTACTTATTATTTATTTTTATTATTTAAGATTACTATATAACTTTAATTTATTTAATAATATTAAGTAAAGTTAAAAAAAAACTAAATAAAGCTATTTTAAATATTCTTTATTATAATATTATTAGCTTAAATATTAATAATTAAATTATATTTAAGTTAGCTTAATATAAAAACACTATTTATATTTTTAATAAAATTATTACTATTTAAAATCTTAATATTATTTTAAAAAATATCTTTTAAGTTACTAATACCAAGCTTAATATAATATATATAGTAAGTAATATTTAAGTTAATATTAAAAATAAGATAGATATAGTAATATTAATATTTTATATTCTAGCTTAGTATTATTATAAGAATAATAGCTAGAATTTAAAGGTATCTTACTTTTTAATGGGTAATATATACTAAGTTAATCTAGGTAAAAATAAAAGTAATAGGGGACTATAGAAAATAAAGAAGCTTAAGATAAAAGTTATTTAAAATAAGGGAGATGTGATAATTGTGGGGCTGGATGGTATATGGATAGCTGGTTGTGTAGTGTTAAATAGTTAATTATATGAAATATGCTTGGTTTTGCTGTTATGTAGAGACCTGCTTGTATATTTAATACAATATCTAATTTTACCACCTTTACAACATAGAGCAGTTACTGGCCGTCGCCGAAATCAGAGGCTTATACCTAGTGTTATTCTTTCCAGCCGTCTATTAGATAGACCGTAGTTAGCTATTCCAGCATGGGACTTGAGCCTTTCGCTCCAGGACATAAGTATGGATAGTCTCAGCAGCTATCAACAACACTTGGTTACATTGAATCTACTATTCTACCATTACTAGACTGTTACCTACATTGCTCACTGTTGACGGCCTGATCACACTTAATTATACCCATGTCTTGACCTACCCTACACCCCATACAGGATAAGCCAGATCGATACGTAATACAGACTTATTTCAGTATCTAATACTCTTACTACCAGTTGTTAAAATTAGCATATTTAGTAGTGTATAAGATATAATAAGAGTAGACAAAAAGAAATCTAGCTAGCTAATTAAGACTGAGTACTCGACCAATATATATGCTTCCTTTAATAAGTACACGAGACGTTGTAAATCTTCTTCATGAACGTTCAACGGCGGTGCCAGAAGGACATGATCGCCAGTGTATCCATCCACTGTTCCTTTACCTGGGTAGACTGCTAGTCCCAAGTCAAAAGCCTTTCGTTGAACCTGGCCTCCAAAGTCCAAAGCGGGGTTGAAAGATTCCTTTGAGTCCCTGTCGCGCACAAACTCCAATGCCCAGAAGAGGCCTCGACCTCTGATATCACCGACGTACTTGCAGTCGCCGAAGCTATCTCTTAAAAGCTGCTCAAACAGAATGCCCATTTTCGCACACTGTTTCACCAGGTTCTCTTCTTCCATTACCATCTGGACTGCAAAGGCTGTTGCGCAGCTTGACGGATGGGCTTGATAAGTGTGTCCATGGTTGAAGCTTCCGCTGCCCATCCGCAAAACGTCGACAACCTTTTCGTGAATGAGCATGCCCCCGATAGGGGTATAGCCACCGCCAACTCCTTTCCCCACTGTAACAATGTCTGGGACAATATCTCCCCTTTCCTGCTCGAACGCGAAGTAGGTTCCAGTCCTACCAGTCCCGGACATGACCTCATCTAGGATAAGAAGAATGCCATATTTATCACATAGCTTTCTAACACCTTCAAAGTATCCTACCGGGGCAAGCGTGCAGCCGGATGTCGCCCCAACGACCGTCTCTGCCACGAAAGCAATTACGGTATCCGGTCCGAGTTGCTGGAACTCGCAGTCAAGTTCCATGACCAGCCTCTTTGCAAAGTTTTCGGCGCTCTCGTCTGGTCTTTGTCCTCGATAGGAACTGGTTGAGTTGACGAAGCTGACGTTATGCAATAAAACCGCTCCCTCGTACGGAAGCTTTCTGGAAATGTTGCTGCTGATACTCATGGCACCAATGGTGTTTCCGTGGTATCCTTGCCTGCGTGACACAAAGCGGGTTCTCTGCTTCTCGCCCTTTTCAAAGAAGAATTGTCTTGCCATTTTCATTGCAGAGTCCATCGCCTCACTGCCTGAGCCGACAAAGTATGCTTTGGAGAGGCCAAAAGGCCGCCCTTTCTCGACCATGAAGTTGGCGAGCCTTTCAGCACTTTGGGTTGTGTAAGACATTGTATGCACGTACGAAACCATGCTCATTTGGTCCAACATTGCTTTTTGGGCCTGTGGGTGTCCGTGTCCGATGACTGCCACAGCAGCGCCAGCGCACCCATCGAGAATTTGGCGGCCGCAAAGCAAGGTGAGATAGCTCCCTGAGGCCGAGAGGACTTCGATGGGCTTGTTGAGAAGCGACCGATGCAGAAGACCGGGGTCGTTCAAAGGTTTCGTCTTCTCCGCAGGCGATGGAGAGTTGCCATGTTGAACAAAATTGGAATAAGTCAAACCCATTGTGGAAATGGAAGAATGAGACAGCTCTGTCAGCGCAGATGGTGGGGACATTGTTCCCACAGCTCGAGGTATCAATGATGAATGTGTAGAAGATAAACGACCAAATTGTAGCATGCCAGAGGTGTTATATCATGTGTTGTGAAGCATGAGTTCAGTACCTGGAAGTGGAAAGGTGTTATTACGTCTCCATTGGAATTTCGGGTGTCCGATATTGGTATCGGGTTTCAGTCACGCAAATGTACTCCGTCGGCAGTGCACCATTTCCGCTTCTCGCATCTCGCATTTCGGGTTTAGAGATACGAAGCCGAAATCCAGTCAACTTTCAGCCAATGAAGATGGGATGCATTATCTACTCTTATCAAGGAGAGCTTGTTGAACTACGCTTTGGACGGACTCCAAGGATCTGCTTCACGGAAATAGATTCTGGATTTCCGCCAAGGGAAAATATCTCAGTCGGTGCTATAAGGCTCTCCAGAACCAGGTTCATCTGTAGCACTCCCAATTTCACTAGCTATTGTTTAGTATTTTACACGTGCAAGCCATCAACCTTTTTTGCAAGCGCAGTTCAATCACTTGTGGAAATGGCAACCAATCGAAGTCTCCAAGTACCCTCAACTTCAACCGCTTCACTGGAGGTCCCGAAGCTTGGGACCATCACCGGAATCCTATACAATGGAGGCGAATGCACTCAGTACCTTGGCATAACCTACGCCAACATTCCAGGACGTTTCCGACGTTCTATTCCTGCACAGGAGCCATGGCCCATGAGAACTTGTGACGGCACGAAACTCGGGTAAGTTCTTCAAACTACGTTTACTACCTTAGGCATATTCTGAACATGAACTGAATAGCCCCTACTGCCCTCAACCCCCGCGAGATTTCTACCCTGTGCCTGATCCGCCAACCCGGACATGGCTCAACACCCCCGAAACCGATGAATTTAACTGCCTCAACCTCAACATCTCCATTCCCAAACACGATGCCGCAAAGGGACCACTGCCTGTCATGGTGTTCTTTCACGGCGGGGCATACGCGTACTCGACCGGAGCTTCCCCTATTTACGACGGCCGGCTCCTTGCAACGTCGTCCGCAATGGACAATGATACGCCCACTATTGTTGTAACGCTAAACTATCGCTTGGGAGTCTACGGCTTTCTTGCTGGTACAGATCTCGAGGCCTATGCTGCCGCGAATGGAGAGTCCGGGACCGGGAACTACGGCATCTGGGACCAAATCTTGGCTCTTCGTTGGATTCAAAAGCACATCTATTCATTCGGCGGAGATCCGAAGCGTGTTTGCATATTTGGACAGAGTGCAGGCAGTCAAAGCGTTGTCTGCCACGTCAACCGCGGGGAACAGTTATTCTCCAGTGCAATCATGCAATCAGGCCTATTATCTCTTTGCGGCATTTTCACTCCAGCACAGTACCATGTAGTATTTGAGAAGATGCTTGGGCAACTGGGCCTATCGCTCGAGTCAACCCCTGTCCAGAGAGCCGAGGCGATTGCAAGTGTACCTGAGAAAGCTCTGACTGAGGCCATGATGCCTGTGTTTGGCATTCCGGTTGTCACTATGGCCTTGTGCGACGACGGAGTCTTACTTCCTGAAATGGCCAAGGCAGCCAGTTTGTTCGACTTCCAAGTTCCAGAATTCGTTGATCGCGTGATGATTGGCGATGCATTACATGAGTGCATCATCTGGAACAAGTCGTGGAACCATCTGGATGCAGCTGACCTGCTTACGGAAATGTCAGTGTTCATGGGCGAAAAGAGCAAAATAGTTGCGGATCTCTACGGTATTCATGCCGGTCTATCCCAGAAGCAGACCTTCGATGTCATTGAACGCATGACAACAGATGGACTCTATCGGATCCCCAATTATCTTGCCGAGTTGGCTATTCCACACAGTTACGCCTATCATTTCAACGTGCCGTCTCCGTACGATAATGAGTGGGGGGGTCTTTGCCATCACAGTTTCGACAATGTGCTTGTGTGGGGGGTCCTGGAACATACTCTGCCACCGGAACAACAGGAAATTGGCAAGGCCATGAGGTCCATGTTTATCAAATTTGCGAACAATGTTGAGCCATGGGAGGCTTTTGAGCATGTAGGCAAGTTTTGCATCTTCGGGCCAAAAGATGTGAAGCAGCAAACGAACAATGAGTTTGACCGAGAGTCTTACCAGAGGTGGGACAAAATTAAACAGGAAGGGTTGGTGGAGCCTCTCTGGAAGCTATCGGAGGAGCTCAACTTGCAAAGAAGAAGACTACTTTCTAAATAGATTACTAACATGTTGTCCATTAAAATACTGCATGTCGTTCACTGTTCAATAGAGAGTAAATGTGGGTTATCCCAAAATGACCACAGGCGCCAACTGTCCTCGCTCATACCAGTTATGTCCGACCCCAGCGGCACATTAATAGCCTCTGGCACCCCAAAGTTTGAAACAATGTCAGCGGGAGGTTGTGGAGTTGGGTGTTGTACGTTTGGCGTTGATGTAACCCCCGTTACATCATGATCCGGAGGATCCTGTGTTGGCGATGGGTGTAGTACTCTGGAAGGCAACCCTTTCAGCTTTGCCAAGTTGATTGAGCTTTCCAGGTCAAGATAGTCGTCTCGAGACCTCATGATGTCGAGTTGTTCTTCCATAGAGGACATCTGGCTATACAGAGTTTGTGCCGTATCGACGACGTCCAACCACTCCTCTCCCACTTTCCATAATGCAGATATTCTTTTGAGATCAATCATATTTTCGCTGGCAAGTGATGTGGTGATTGAAGTGTCAACTCCACCAGTCATGCTTGGGAAAGCGGCGGCGTAAAGGTTCATGAGAGCCGATGTAAAAGCACAGAGACCAGTGAAAGGCGTGTAAATTGAAGCATCGGAATCCCGAAGAGAGCGCATGATATCCGTCATGTGTACAGCGGCAGTGAATAACTCGGCCGAGTTGCTCTCCCAGAACCCACTGGGAGCGGTGTCCTTCAGTAGCGGCAGATCAAGCGGCCCACGGGGGCCCAGCTCTCCTAGTGGAAGAAACGGTATATACTCGCGACAGAGGAAGACTAGACTTTTTCTTGAAGGTCAGCGCACATTGCAGTATTATATAACATGTAATAGCATGACTTGATCGTACCTGAGATAGTATATAAGGTTGATGTATGCGAAAACCTCGCCTCGTCGAAGGTGGATTTGGGTGGTGATCTTTGTGTCGGGGTACTTGAGAGTGATGTGCTGGCTGTTTCTCCATCGTTCAAGGTCGCGCTTCATGCAGGCCCAGTGAGACGTTGGCTGCCAGGGACAATGTTCCGGCTCAGTCATTCCTGGATGCTTTCGTCCGCCTTCAACAACCCATCCGTGGATTCTCGACCAGATTTCCATTCCGTCAACAATGGTTCGAAAGTTATTGCCAAGCCCCGAAGGAAGACTCGGATCCTTTGGAGTTGTGGGTTGTGTTTGAGTCTCGGAAGCACCGAATGCGAATTCCTCATCATTGCACGGACGGGGTATGTCCATATTGTCGAGCATCAGCACTGCCGGGCGTTGTTTTCCGCAACTTAGTAGTCTATCAATAACAAAGCATGTCCATACTGTTCGAATCTCTTTCTCGAATACGGGCTTGGTTTCCCTTTGTGACCCCTGTCCTAGGTGTTGCATTGACAAGCTTGAAACAAGGGATACTTGGGCCATTCGAACCGCAATGCCAGTATTCATCCAAGCACTGTATCCTTCACCTTCGCCCCACTGGTGTAGAGCCATGATCAAGACTGTCTGGATGAGGTCAAGACAGGGAGAACTATGAAGCCGCGACTGGATCCCGTGCATCACCCTAGCTGCACACTCTGCTCCGAGACAGTCGCTGTCTCCGCTATATCGATGTGAGACGGCAATAATCGCCATGAGCTTCATTACCTTAGCGTCGGACAGTTGGTCTTGTCGGATATCCAAGTCCGACGGATGTATGAAGCCATATTCAGGGAACTGAGTTCGAAAGTTTGACAGAGCTTTTGCGAGAGTCTGCCTGGGGATGGCAGCTAAAAACATTGATAAATCACCAGTAGCATCAGAGGGCCGCTCTACTCGATCAGCATCCGGCCCTGGTGAATTTGCTAATCTTAGTTGTCGTCTCCTCCTCGCAGCTGCAAGGGAGGATGTGACTTGGCGTTTGGTGGGTGGACCCGTCAAGATGCAGCTTGTTTCTGTACCGCCTCTGAGGCAAGCTTCGCACGGAGACAACCCGGTGTGCTTGCATTTGACCTTGGCCTTTCTGGGAACATGGTCAGTAGCTGGGGCTGATGATACGGAATATCGGGTCTGTACCGGCACCTATTTTGCTGTTAGATACTCGCTTATCTTGATCGTACGACTCGAGCTCACCTGTGACAAGCAATTGTCGTCCGCATCTCGCAAACCCATTTGCGTGCTCCGAGAAAGCAGCAGGGCACGATGATGAAGAAGGCGTGGGCAGCTGGCGTTTTCATATCCGAAATCAAACCCGAGATGCGGACTCTTATCTCCCCCACTTCTTGAGTCTACTCGAACGCTGACGAATGGTGCTAATTTGTTCCGTCTCTTATCTCGGGTTTCCGCTTAAGCAAATGCGAAATCCGCCAAGCGCACCCCACTGTGGAGAAGATATCCCCACGACCCATGCAACAGAGAGTTGATGAATACTGCACTATATCATGCTTATCTCTCAGAAGAACGCCCCTTGTAGATACAACCGACTCGACGACACAACTTATCGTAAGTGTTGCTTTGCGCGGCTGGTATTTTAAAGGACATCCATATCCTTCAATATCCGGGCTCCAAGTCCTCAGTCTTAAATCCACCCAGTCTTTCTACTACCTCGCAGTCTTCCCCTGGCCGTGAGACTCGTTCAACCATCACCATGGAAAAGGCAACCAAGATATCACCGAGCATTTCTCAAGAGATGTCCTCTGCCAAAAAAGGCGTCATTGTGGACAGTCATGCCGACATTGGCTTGAAATATCTTGTCGAGAATGGGACAGTCGACTTTCTGCCCGAAGAGGAGTGTGGTGTTCGATGGAAAATCGACCTCCACTTTCTTCCAATCGTGAGTCCATGCCGTCCTTTCCGCCCGTCCTTCCACATGGAGCTAACTGCTCCCTCTTAGCTAGCAATTTCATTTGGTCTTCAATACCTTGACAAGGTCACAATTAGCTACGCGGCTGTTTACAATATGCGCGAGGATCTCAACCTCGTTGGCCAGGAGTATAGCTGGGCCAACTCGCTCTTCTACTTTGGCTACCTGGTCGGGGAGTTTCCCGCCAACTACCTCATGCATAAGCTACCTATTGGTAAATTTGCGGCAATTAATACCCTGGTATGGGGCGTCTTGGTTATGCTCTGCGCAGTTGTCAAGAACTTCGCGGGACTAGCGGCGCTGAGGTTCTTGATGGGCGTCTTTGAGGCATGCATCGGACCCTGCTGGGTGCAGCTCACTGGCATGTTCTACAAGGCCGATGAACAAGGCGCAAGGGTAGCCATTTGGTATTCGATGGTTGGATTTGCGGCCATAATTGGCGGGCTCATGTCATACGGGATTGGCCATATCAAGTCCATCGCTGTTTCTGAGTGGCAGTTCGTCTTCTTGGTCTGCGGCGGCTTTACCGTTTTATGGGTAAGAATCCTACGTGTATGGCTATGCCCAGACATAGCGCTAACTCTACAAGGCTTTTGTCATTTGGTTTTTCCTCCCTGAATCGCCAGCTGATGCCAAGTTTCTCTCCCAACGTGAGAAGTCAATCGCCGTGGAGCGGTTGAGGTCGAACCGAACTGGGCTAAAAGCCACCAAGTTCAAATGGTCCCAGGCTTTGGAGGCCCTGAAAGATCCCCAATGCTGGTTGTTTGCTTTTTGGACCGGAGTCAGCAACATACTCAACATCGGAGGCTCATTTCTCCCCTTGATCATCCAAAACATGGGCTTCACTGGCCTGACTACTACGCTGCTGACCCTCCCTGTCGGCGGTGTCGAGATTGTCGCTATGGCAGCTGCTGCTATTCTGTCCAGCAGCTTTACGCCAAATGGACGTACCCCTATCATGTTTCTCATCGCCACTCCCACACTTGTGGGCACTATCATTCTTCTCGTCTGCCCACAATCTTCTACTTGGGCTCGTTGCGCTGCTGTCTGGCTTCTGCTTTGCATACCAGCTGCGTATGCATTGTTGCTTAGCTTGATTACTACAAATGTTGCTGGTACATCCAAAAAGGCCACTACAACGCTCATGGTATTTGTCTTCTTTTGTATTGGTAATATTGTATCTCCCCAGTTATTCCGTGCTCCCGAGGCACCAGAATATGGGACTGCGTTGAGATCGCTGGTTGTTTCGGCAGTCTTGGTGCAACTCTTGACAATTGCTTTGGGGCTGTACTATTTCTTTCAGAACATACGCCGTGACAAACTTGTTGCAAACTTGTCAGAGGCTGAACTGGCGGAGAGCACGATTGAGAACGAGGAATTCTTGGACAGGACTGATCAGGAGGACTGGATACGATTCCGATATAGGTGGTAATTTGGATTGCCAGACTAGTTCCTTTCTAACATTTATAGAGAGTCTTGCCTTAGATCTCTATCTAGGTTTCACGTTTATTCATACCTCTATCTGGATAAATTTTACATGATAGGTTTAACCTTGCACGATCATCATTTTCCATGCATCTACCGTTGTGCCGACAGATCGAGATACGTCCCTGGATCCCTACCGGATTTCAGGAAGCAGCTGAAGGATATTGCGACCGAAATATGTCAGCTATCATGATTCAAGAAGCTTTCTGATAATTATCCACTGCAGTTCATTGCCGAAGTGGCTGGCTAACAAGAAAAAGCAGTTTGACAGCACAGCCAGCATTTAGAAGTAAGTTTTTCTTTGCGACTAGATTATATGAACCACATCCATTTAGCCCTCGGCCTTTTATTGTAAGAGAATCAAATTACTCCCTCCTTCTCATACATTTCTATCTAAATAAGCCAGTACTTCTCAACCCTGTAGCTTCTAACCTTTTCTAACTACCTTCTCACCTTCTCTTGAAACACCTCAAGCACAGCATTGTTAGAGCAAGATGCTGCTATATCAATCGCTGTCTGGTGCACATTATTCTCCATCATTGGATCCAATCCCACAGACATCAGCTCCTGGAAGCGAACAACATCACCAGCTGCTGCAACATGTAGTCGCCCTTCACCCTCTTTGTTCGTAACGAAGAAGTCTGCTCCCAGCTCCTGTAGGAGTGCTGTAGCCCCCTGCTCTCTCGTTTCCTCGTACTCATCGCCTCGGACTTTTTGCTTCATGTAATCCAGACCGAAAACATCGTCTGACTCTTGCGGATATCGGTGAGCGAACGTGAAAAGGGGTGTTTCGCCTTTGGTATTGAGCCCATTGATGTCAGCTCCGCGACTGACAAAGTCTCGAAGCAATTCACGAAAGCCCATAGTGCCAAGGTCCTCTGCTAGCATGTGTAGCACACTCGCCATGCTTGTTTGTTACTAGAGGAGAGGCACCTGCCGATAGCAGTCTTTGTACCGTCTCTGTGTTAGACGCTGAGCTAACAGCCCGACGTACAGCATACATCAACGCAGTATCGCCCTCAAGGTCGGTATGGTTTACCAACCCAGGCGCTAGATGAATAATGCACTCTAGAGTTTCCCTCCACCTTGGTGAGGCAGGCCAACTATAGCTAGTAAGTAGGCACATAAGGACCGTTCAATCAAACTTATTTCGTACTGTAATATCCGCATTAAGTCCTACTAGATACTAAAAAATTAATTCTTTTTATTTTCTACTAGCACTAAAATGCTAGAGGCTATATTTCTTATCGATCAGATTGATATTAGTGCATATAGCATATAGAAGAGTAAGTCCCTCTGGGTTTCTATAATTAAGATTAAGCCCAGGAATAAGAAATAGCTCAATTTATAGCTCTCTAACTCCTATAATTATAAAGTATAATAGAATTTGATACTTAGCATTCTCATTAAAGGTTGACGCAAAATTTTTAGAACGGATAGTTAAATATAAGCTATCATCCCCTCCGATAAAGAAGTAGTCAGAGAGGGGGTTTACTCTATATTCAATAAGTATCTCAATCATCTCGATGACAATTGCATTATCAACCACCAATCGTAGCACATAGTTGTCTTCAGTTGGTTTATAGAACAGCAAGCTCGCTGCCTGTAGTGGTGCAACTAAGTCCAAGTCCAGACATTCTCCATCGTCATCTCTTGCGTGAAACAGCGCACGGAGTATATCGGTTCGACCGGCTTCGACTGCTGATACGATATCTTCAGGCGAGATTATGGCTCTGTGCTTGATAAGCAGTCGGATAGTCCGGATATCGTGCTTGGCCATGCTAAGACAGCTTTCTCCCCCTTTCGCCACAGCGTGGATATCTACTCCGGCCTCAAGCAGACACTTCACCGAGTCGTAAGAGTAAGGTCTAGGATTGCAGACTGGCACCCGACCTTTAATTGCCATGTGGAGAGGTGTCAAGCAATCTTTGATTTGGAGATTAAGATCAATCCCCGGCGCCTTCAAGAGATACTTCATCGTATGGTATACATGCCACCAACGCAAGCCTTGCGCAACGTAGTGAAGAGCCGAGTTATCATATACGAGATATCGTTCGAAGTCATCGTATTCTGAGCCCCAGGTCCTCTCGTTCACGTCAACATGGAAATCCTCCAGCAGCGAAGTGACGACACTGAGATTGGGAAGATCGCGCTGGGCGGCCAATACATGGGCGCCCGGGCGCGCCACCCACAAACTGTCCGGCGTCCCATTGGCCCATGCAACACGCGCTGCAAACTTACAAGCACAGTCTGAAGTTACTATGTCCTCATTTGACAACTGTAAAGTATAATCGGCTACGGTTTGACGACAATACACTGATCTACCGAGCCAGCAGTCGAATGCAAGGCTTGCTGCTTCTTGCTATCTCTTTTAACGCTCTTCCAGATATCTTTCACACCTCTTCTTTTGTTTGCCAGCGGATTGTCTTCTATCTCATAGACGAGTTGGGCCTCAATATGTTCATCCTCCGCCTTGCTCTAATCTAAATACGCTATTATCTCTTCTTTCGTCCATTCTCTTGATCCTATTAAGGCCGTGTAGCGCTTGGACATCTACTTGTAATCCAGACACCACTCATAGCTCTGCTTGTCGTACCTTTATGGCAGCCCCATAGCCCTACGATATTGCTAGTTGGTCTTGATGCTGCCGGTGGGCTCCGCTGCGTACCACACGCTTCTCGCGGCAATATACCTTCCATATATAGCTTGTGGCGAGTCGTACCTCAATGGTGAATGCAAGAGGGGCTCTCGCAAATGGCATAGTTATTGCACCACAGACTCTCCACCGACGGAGCTTGGCACAGTTCCTGCCCGACCGTCTGAAACGATAGGAGAGTGGGGCCCTATAGTGGAATCTTATATAGTAGGCGAAGGCGGGACGAATGGGGTTGGTATAGCAGCGGGAGAGCGAGAGCGTCAAATAGCTTCCGCGGGGCATTCGAGTGTAGCTCCGGCCAATGATAGCTCATGGGTCACCGAAACACTTTCAGCAAGGTCAGTAAGAGCTGGAATTGCGACTGGTGTTGCATCCGGCTGCGGGACTGACTTCGAAGCCGGTGCTATCGGTGTGAGCAACTCCTAGAGCCTCAGAGGACATACACTCGAGGACTTTATGTAACCGACTGCGTAGCATCTACTACACGTACGGGGCTCTTTCTTGCCGTACTGGATGATTTCAAATCCAGAGGGTTCTCGTCTGGTGCTCGTTGTGGGTTGGCTAGTTGTCTGGATACCTTGCCTTGGGACTCTACGTAGTTCCAGTATGAGCCGCGGTCGGTCCACATTCCGTTTCAAGGCCCAATGAGGATAAAAATGCTTAAGGAAAAGGCTCTGCTTTTCCTCCTCAAGTTTCTTCAACGTGTGGGAATATGGCAGTCTATGCAAAGAAGTGAAAGACTGGCTTCAAGGAGCTTTGAGAGGCGCCAGAAGTAACTTCCGCTGCTCTTGCACTTTGCGCAGTGCCTAGTGTAACACCCAACCCTGCACAGCTTCGAACATCTCTCCCGAGACATCTAGAGGTATCCGAGTCTGTTAAGAGGCTTGTATATTTGGTTTTTTTTAGCTTTACTCAATATCATCAGATAGATCAAAGCCATACAGTAATCTCAAACAGTAGGAATAAACAATAAGTGCTTCACCCAGCACCAGAAGAAATAGTAGCTGAACAATAAGGTTATTGCCCACTAGTCTCTGCCTAAAGCTTCTATTTAACCCCTCTAACTTTAACTCTATTATCTGCAGTTAATAACCTTGCTATCTGCAGTTAACAACCTTAAGATAGTAATCTTATTCTAAGTAATAGAATATAAGAAAGACTGATATCTTTTATTATTAAGAGACTAACTTCCCTTTTAATATTTATTTTATTATAACTAATTTTTAATATAGTAAATTTTACTTAAGTAGCTCTTTTTAGGGATAATTTATTATATTTATATTATAAATCTTAATTTTAATATAATCTTAGATTCTTTTAAAATTTAAAAGATAAATTAGAAAAATAGAAGTTAAATTTCCTCTTAAGCTTTTTTAAAAAAGAAAATTTATTTAAGTTATTATTATATTATTTATAATATTTAAATAAAAATTAATAAATTATATTAGCTATTTTTAAATATTATTTACTTTTTAATAATAAGATTAAAGTTAATAAATAAGAAAATTAAATTCTTATTTATAATTTTATTTTATATATTTAAATAGAAATAATTATATTTTATAATTTAGTTAAAAATATTAATAATTTTAATTTAAGAAGTTAAGTTTTTTTTTAAAATATTATTAAGGCTTAATATAATTTTTAGTTTTAAAAGCTATTATATTATATTAAGTTAATATAAATACTAGCTATATAAAATACTAATTAAAAAAGGGATTTAAATAACTTAAATAAGTTATTATTAATATTAGGAATTTTAGGATATTAAGTTAAGTTATAGAAGTTTTTAGTATATTTATTAAAATTAAAGTTAAAAAAGTTAAATAGAATTTTAATAGAAAAGAAAAAAATAACTTAAAATTTAAAACTTAAGTTTTAGTAATTATAATATATATATATATAATAAAAATATAATAAATTTAAATATTAAGTTTTCTTATTAAAAAAAGAAGCTTATATATAATTTAGCTTTTTTAGTTAATTAATAACTATATAATATATAATTTACTAAAAGTTAAAGAGGTTAAATATAGATATTTTAATATATAATTTAATTAATAAGTAAATTTCTTTAGTTTTAAAAGATAAATATTAATAATCTTTTAATATTAATATAAACTTTAGTTAACTATCTTAAAGTAGCTATATTATTAAAATATAAGTATTTATTTATTTATACTTTAATAATTTTCTTTTTATATAGCTTTAGCTAGTATAATTTAATATACTTAATTACTTAAAAATAGCTTTTAATATACTTAAGTTTAAATTTAACTAATTACTTTTTAAATATTACTTTAATTAGTAAATTTATAATTAAATATTAAATTTATAAAATGTATTTTATACTTTTTTATTAAACTTGTATTTAAAGTTTAAGTTAAAGTTAATAAAGTTAAAAGTATAAATAGAAACTTAATAAAAAAAGATTATAGTTAATTTTATATATATAAATTTTATAATAAATTAATAGTATTTATTTATTTATTTAGTATACGCTATTTTACCTTTATCAAGGCCTATAGAACTCCTACTACTTTATCGGATAGGGAAAAACCGTATGCCTAAACATTGGATGAAAACCCTACCCCTTCCTTCTATTTCTACCACTCTATGTACCCATAAGGTCACTGTAGAGCATACAATGCAACTTCGAGTCTGTAACTGGTAACAACACCTCAAGCTATTCCTCGCCATTAACACCTCAACCTTCTAGTCTTCCAACCTTCCTATTTTCTCTGGGTAGAGGGGGGGTTACCTATTTATAAGCGCAGGAATGCGCTGTAGTTAGCCTCTTATAGTGGGTTGGCCAGTCCACTTCCTAAAGGCAAGCTAGGGACCAATTAGCTTGCTACCTTAGGCCCGGTTAGCGAGTCGGATCCTCGGGTTCAATCCCTGTACAGGCTGACTTTTCTGCTAGGGGACGAGGCTAGCAGTCACAGCACAATTACAAGGATTGTGCCCTGGGCTGGATTCGAACCAACAACCTCTTGAAAAAAGGTCCCAAGCTCTTAACCACTGAGCCCCAGGGTAATTAATAGTATTTAGTTTTTTTAACTTTACTTAATATTATTAAATAGATTAAAGCTATATAGTAATCTTAAATAGTAGAAATAAATAATAAATATATACTTAATATTAAAAGAAATAATAGTTAAATAATAAGATTATTACCTATTAATTTCTACTTAAAGCTTCTATTTAACCCCTCTAACTTTAACTTTAACTATTTATAGTTAATAACTTTAAGATAGTAATTTTATTTTAAGTATAAAATATAAAAGAAATAATATCTCTATTATTAAGAGATTAACTTCCCTTTTAATACTTATTCTATCTTAATAAATTTATTTAAATAACTTATTACTATATTTACTATTAATTATAAGACTCTTATTATATATATTCCTATATATTAAGAATATAAATTTAGATTTTAGTATAGTATAGAATTTATTAGAATCTTTAAGATAAAAGAAAAAGATATAAGCTAGATAACTATTTAAAATTCCTTAAAAAAGAAATCTTTTAAATTTCTTATTATATACCTAGAATACCTAAATAAAACTAAAGAATTATATTAGCTATTTTTAATATAATTTATTTTTAATAATAGAAATAAAGCTAATTTATAGAAAAGTTAGGCTATTAGTATTAATATTATATTTATCTAGATAGAAATAGCTATATTATATAATCTAGCTAATAATATTAAAAATACTAATAATAATAAAAGCTAAAAGTTTCTTATAGAAATTAGCTATAAAAAATATAACTTCTAATTCTAAAGTTATTATACTATATTAAGCTAGTATAAATACTAGCTATTTAGAGTACTAGCTAGAGGGGAATTTAAATAACTTAATAGATATTATAGATATTAGGAATTTAAGGTATTAAGTTAGTTATAGGAGTTTTTAGTATATTTATTAAGGTTAGAATTAAAAAAGTTAAATAGAATTTTAATAAAAAAGAAAAAAGCAGCTTAAAACTTAAAACTTAGCTTAGTAACTATAATATATATATAATAAAAATACAGTAAATTTAAATACTAAGTTCTCTTATTAAGGAATAAATTAATAATATTAATATATACTTTATAAAGTAAATAATTAGCTTAAGTAAATTTAACTTTATATACTTTTTATAGTAATTTTATTTTTATTTTATTTTTACTCTTTTATTACTTATAAAAAGGTAAAATATAAAGATATTTTAAACTTAATTTCTTAAGTATTATTTATATTAAGCTATATTAATTTATATAAAATTTAAAGTTAGTATTTTAATTAAATTTAAATATAAAAATAAAGAAAGTAAAAAAAAGGTAAAAAAAGAATAATTAATTAAAAATAAAATATTTTAAATACTAGCTATTTTAAATAAAATCTATACTAATAAAATTAATTATAAATTAAATATTATATATATTAAGCTATATTTATTACTTTTTATATTATTATTTTACTTACTTTTATTAAATAATATACTTTTATTTTAATTTTATATAATTAATATTATTTTTTTAGCTAATTAAAAAAACTTTACTAAGAATAGTATTTATAAGCTAGCTAATAATTAAAATTATAAATTAAATACTATATATTTTAATATTATATTAAATATATATATAAAAAAAGAAAAATTTATTTCTTTTTTTACTTAACGTACATGATAAGCGAATGTCCCAAACAAGTGAATGTCCCAAAAATCCTAACCTCTAAAGTTAAAACCTCAATAAAACCACAACAATATAATTAATCAATTAAAACTAATCGCTATACTCTTCTCCAGAGGTCTCAATTATAGCCTGACAGGTCCTTGCATTATGACCAGCCTTTCCACATGTTCCACAGCGCCTTTCCCTCGGCGGCGCCGACCTTCGTCGACCACTACTTCTCGATGATTCAGCTACTACCTGCGCATTAACGTCTCTCTGATCTATCTCATCCCTTCCCTCATCTAGAGTCATCTTCCCTCTATTCTGTAGGCGGGTTCTTTTCGCTCTGCGCCGCTTACTAAGGGTCTCATTTGCCTGTTGAAGGATCTGGTTCTCAGACTTCAATAATGCTATCTGATGCATTATTGCCTTTGTTCCCTTA